GAAAGATGTGTATTATTCATTACGTTTTCTAGTTTTATAGTTATAGAGAACTAACATTGCATAGCCTAATAACGAGATAGAGAATGTTTATGTTGATCACATTTATAGGATAAAAGCAAATGATTATTCTTGGGTGGCTGGGTTGCATTTTGTTTTTCATAGTGACTGTTGATGGTAGTTTCTCCAGTTGTAATGCTTTTAGAACTTTTAGACATTACATTTGGTCATTTCTGCTCTTTTATTTAGTATCATCTCCCTTTCACAAAAAATCCAGGAGTAAGAGGAGTACCACATGTTTTCAAAATCCTGAATGTCTCTGGGGAAAATTACTGCCTATAAAGTAAAACACAATGTGTATCTTAAAAGTGTCAGTATATTTAAAGGAAATATGTATTTTCAACTCAGTTATTTTACTAGATTAGGTAGCTTCTTTTAACTTTATGGAGTGCTATAACTGTTTAGGGCAAATATCCACTGACAGAATCAAAATTAAAAAATTTCCTTGCATTCCAAATTTAAACATCTAGTTAGATTTTTAGCAGCATACAGTTGATTCTAGTCTATATCAAGATGACAAATTTAGGTGTTGGAAGGGTAAAGAAGTAGGTAGGTACTTCTAGGTAGGTAGTTAGGTTTTAGTAAACTCAGCTTAAATGGGTACTTGAGAGTAAGATGGACTGCTCTGACTTGCTTTTGTATCCTTTATTTAGTCTTGTTTCACAATCCATAGTTCAATTTTAAACACCATTTGACAGCTGCATTCACTTTCTATCATATTAACCTGAAATGTGCTAGAGAAAATAAACTAAGACAAATAGATTTTTCTGTTTGTCTTTTGACTTAACATTTCAGGATCAGATGTGGCTTATATTTGAGACTAAAGGTGCCGGAAAAGTAAATAATATACAATACTTAGGCATATCTTCAATACCCTTGTTTTGTTATGGCCAATTAGGCTAATTTTAGTGATGGTCAGAGACTTCTAAATAGTAGTAACTCCTGTAAATACCAGTTTCCAAATGGTATCTCTCTATTCCAGCCCATCACAACAGTTTTAAAATCAGCTTTTGTTTTTGTTTTTGTTTTTGTTTTGTTGCTTTGTTTTGTTTTTTAACAGGAGAGCCAGTGTAACTCCTTCAAGACTGGAGTGACACACACTGCATCTGCATCTGCCTCATGTGAGTTCTCATTTTGGCAGCAGCACTCTACTAGGCTGGAACCTCTGTAGAGGTTTGCCCTTTATTTTTCTAAATCTATAAACTACTACACAGTATGTCTTGGTGGCAAAGGTAAAAAGTGCATGAGAATTTCAAACTTCCCTGCAGAAAGTTTTCGGCTCATTCCAAAGGGACTTTCTCCATTAACATAGGTTTTATCTTGTATGAACAGTATTACTCAAAACAGAGCCCACAACTTTCATCCACAACATGCAGTTATTTTTTGAAGAGCGGTTTTTTCCTTTCACATTATAGAGTAAAGAATATCTTTAAATGCTCTCAGTAGCTTCAACTTTCAAAGCTTTGGTTGTTCTCTTTATAGTCTAGTTACGTAACCTGAGAACACTGTGTGCTGTCCTAGTGGCTAAAGCAGTCCTCTTTTTTGGACTCTGGCCCTTAAAATAACTTCTTCCTTTGTCTTTGGATATTGAATAAGTTGGGGTAAGCCGAAGGACCTTTTTAGAGAAGAAATAAGCAGTTGATGTGTGAGGTTATGTTTGCTTTGAAGCTATTGCCTGGGTTTTGGAACCACAGAAAGTCAGTTGTAAAGTTGAGCTAGAAACTGTGCATCATGTACTTGCCACAGTTTTGTGAGAGAAATTGAAATTAGAGTCGTTGCAGCTGTGGAGCGGCATAAAGCTCTACAGACTGAGGTGATATATATGGTTCCCTACAAATGAGGCTGACTTTGAAGCACCTGTTTGACTGAGAAAGGAATTTTTCTTTTAATTTTTAATTTTTGTTTTTAAAGGAAGAGCAGTACATGGTAAGCTTCAGGAATTTTTGCTACCAGGTCAGAACAAATGTGTTTATTCCTGAGGAACACTTAGAATAAAACATCTAAATTCATGCTCTGTTGAGCTGCAATTCTGCTTTTGCAGAATTGTACTGTATAGTTCTCTAGCAGATAATTTAATGACCTTGGAGTTCATGTTGCTGAAACAATTATCCGGGAAGCTTATGAGAAAATGTCAATAGCTAGTAGGTCTTACTGATTAATATAGACCTTGATGAAATAGATAGTGTCGTCAAAGTGGAACTTGGACTCTCTTTGCTAAATCCATTTCCACCTGTGACTAGAACAGTTTATTTTGGACTAGTTGAAAGAAATTGGAGAGAGAAGTGTATGTTTTGACACCCAAGCTTAAATTTTGATGGCCTATGTAATCTAGAATTCATGTTTAGCAATGGTAGTATTCCCTACCACAGAGAACTTTGGATGAGAGAGACCTTCTGGCTTCAGCTGATGTTTGTTCTTGCTGTATAACTTTGGGTCAGCAAATGGGGAAGATACATTGTATTTTTGGAAAGTACCTTGAACTCATTGAGAGAAAGGAAATTTAAAGCATTTATTTCTATAGGTGGAATTTCTAGAAAGTCACTTCCCTTGAACACGTGGGAAGTTCTGCCCTGTGATTAAATACAATGTAGTGTTTTATTTTCTGCTAGTCTATTTTCTACTATTTATTTTGCCAGGCTTTGTACTGGCAAAATGGGGATTTGAGATTTTTTCCCCCCTTTATTTTTTTTTTTTCACTAAGAATTCTGAGTAAATTAATTTGAGCTTCAGTCCAGATTGTCTCATAGACATAGGTTTTAAACACCAGTTACTCCATCATTCTCTAATTACCTGACTCTTTAGGGAAAATTGCTGATTTAGGTGTGAGCCTAGGTGGGAATAATTAAGGTTTGTTTTTGTCCTCCATTCTTAAGGCATATCCAGAAAATTATCCTTCTGAAAAAATTAATAATTAAAAATATTAATATATGGGCCAAATTCTGTAAGAATGAATGTCCAATAGAGTACTCAAAGTACTTAGCTATATGGAATTTTTTTTTCATTAAATATTGTTTGAAATAAATGGACTTTGGTTAGGAAATTGAGAAGTAATTTTTGGTTTTTGGAAATTGTATTAAAATGAGATTTACTTGCAATTGAGGTGGGGGCAGGGTAAGGTGAGAGATGTTATGTTCCCAGCATAACTCAAATTTACATCAGTGGGTACCATGCCTTACTGGTTTTATGTTAATACACCAGCTTTTAAGTCTGTTAGTGTGTAGCACTTTCTTTACCACAGTGCGTATCTTATAGAATAGATTTAGGAATTCTGCAGGTAAGTCTTCAACAGGTTTTTTTGAGCGGGGGTCGGGGGAATGAGGCAGGAGTTGAAGGGAAGAAAGAAATATAGCCAGTTTTGAAAATGTTAACTAGGGTTCACATTAGCATTAAATTATTTTTACCCCTATGATAACAGAAGAAACAAAAACAGCTTTTTTGGGCATTGTCCTGAAGAGATGAGACTTAAGCATCTCCGAAAGAACCTTAAAATTTTTAGGCTTCTGGATTTTAAGTCTGACAACTGTTTATTAAAAGATTTTGAAAACCCAGCTTGCTTTTTAAAAATTTCAATTTAATTTAAAAAATAGATAAATACATTATATGTTACAAGTTTTAAAGGTACAAGAAGACACATGAAAGTCTTCTTTCTTGTCACTTAGCCACTCAGTTCCCTTCTTTGGATGTAATCAGTTTCTTTTCTGTATTTCCTGAAATATTCTAAAGGATTGCTTTTGGAAAAAGAAAGTTGAGTCATACTCATTGAAATATTAGTACTAACTTGGATAGGCAGACTGTTACAGTGAAAAATCAGTTTGAGCCATAAGCTAAAGATGTTAATAGTAGATGGAAAAACTATAATAATATTATAATAATAGTTGCATTATTATGAGACTACAAGAATAGGAGGGATATTTTTGCCTGATTTGACATTTAGCAAGCTGGCAGGTCTTGTTGTTTTTATATAGCTTACCTACTCATAGAGACTGATGGAAGGATGCTTATCTAAATATTTTATTTGGAAGAAACCTATTTAAAGGAGCAGTGTTTTCTTTATGCTGAATTACAGTGATAACACTAAAAAGTTTTTTCATTATAGAAAATTTCAGACATACACAGTAGTAGAGAAAAACCCCCATAGTCTGAAATACATGGTATTTGACCTGTAACAAACTCAGTATTTTTCTTTGGCAGATAAGGAAATATTTTCTTTTTATACACATACTTGCATGTACTCATTCTGCCATAATCACATCTAATGAAATAAATCATAATTATTTAATGTCTAATTCTCAGTTCATATCCAGATTCTCTAATTGCCTCAGACATGTCTTTTTATGATTGGCCTGCAGTAACAACTTATAAATTTTGATGGCTATAACATTGGTAGGGCTGATACGAAAAGTCAGTCTAACAAGTAGAACAAATATGTCGATTGGAGAAGGAATATAAAGCAACTACCAAGCCAAATAGGAATTCCAAAAAGAGATTGTTTTTAAAAAAGCTCATTTTGGATTTTGAAGGATTTCTGTGTCGACTGTGCATATCAGTGAAGGCTCTCTTAATTAGTTTTCCGTTTACTTTTATTCTCATGATTAATATCACAGTTGTGCATATTAGTTTTTTAAAATTGTGGGAATGAAAGAATAGATAAAGGAAAAAATGTTAGGAATAGGTTTCCTAAGAATGAAGGAACTATACTGAAATGTATCATAATTCATCTTGTTGCTGCTGCTCCTGCTATAATATGACCTATTTCCACAGACTAACAATTGAGTTCTTTTATGACTTGGGACAGTACAAAACATGGAGCTTGAGGGGAAAGAAGAAAAATGGCAGATTTAGGAGGAGGGATGCATTGGGAAAGAGCAGAAACTCAGTCATTTGCCTTCTGTTTTAACTGGCTGTTCTTTATGCTGACTAATGAAAACCTCCTCTTTGTGCAGTGTACAAGTCCCCGGAGTATGAATCCCTTGGCTTTGAGCTTACTGTGGAAAGATTAGTTTCTATTGGCTATCCCCAGGAGCTACTCAATTTTGCTTATGATTCTACATTCCCTACCAGGTAATTTTTTAAGATGTTTTTGGATTAAGACTATTTCCCCTACTCCCAAAATTAGTAATTCCAAATTTATCTCTGACCAAAAAAAAAAAAATTATCAAATAATTCTTTGCTTTTTTGGTTGGTGCTGATTCTACAGTTCCCATGAAATTTTCACACACACCGTATCTTTTGTGTTCTTGAATTGAACTTAGTTTATTGCTATTGAAGAAGACCTACTTATTGGTGAGAAAAGGGATTACTAGACCTACTTATGGGTAAGAAAAGGGGTTACTAAAACTAATCACAGATGGTCCTATCTTTGACTGTTGGAGAGCAGTTATATGTTTTGCTAATATATTTAACTTGGTAGTCAGAGCCTTGGCAGTTTACGTTTCTGGATTTGATAGGGAAGATTTAAAATTAAAAAAGATAATGTTCATTGGAGATGCTATCATATATGTCCCACATATGACATCTGATAGAAGAAAAAAAGCTTGCTCAAGGAAATTAAAAGACTGTTTTAAAATGGTACCAGTTGTATTAAGAGGAATTATGTTTATGCCTTCTTTGATTAAGCTCTTATTCCATATAGAAAACAATTGAGATTATTTATCTATCTGCAGTGGTCCCCAACCTTTTTGGCACCAGGTACCAGTTTCATGGAAGACAATTTTTCCACACACCAGGGGTTGGAATAGTTTTGGGATGATTCAAGCACATTACATTTATTGTGTAGTCAGACGTCTCTGCTAATGATAATCTGTATTTGCAGCTGCTTCCCAGGGCTAGCATCACCACCTCAGATCATCAGGCATTAGATTCTCATAAGGAGTGTGCAACCTACATCCCTTGCATGTGCAGTTTACTTTAGGATTCGCTCACCCGTAAGCATCTAATGCCCCAGCTGATCTGACAGGAGGTGGAGCTCAAGTGGTGATGCCAGCAATGGGGAGCTGCTGTAGATACAGGTGAAGCTTCACTGGCTTGCCTGCAGCTCATCTTCTGCTTTGTGGCCCAGTTCCTAACAGGCCATGGACCAGTACCATTCCTCAGCCTGGGGGTTGGGGACTGCAGTCTGTCTAGACAGAGTAAATGTTTTTTAATTGTTCTGGGATTAATTTTTAAGATCTAATTCACTCACTTTAGCCTCTAAGGTTATATTGTTTTGGGACATACTTGAGTGGCTACAAAGCTGGAATTAGATGAGTTGGTTCATGGTGATTGAGTAGTACTACATAAAATTATTGTCTGTATTACTTTGCATAATCAACAATGTCTTCGTTTTCACATAGGGGACTTGTCTTTGACACACTATATGGAAATCTTTTGAAAGTTGATGCCTATGGAAACCTCTTGGTCTGTGCACATGGATTTAACTTCATAAGGGGGTGAGTACAAAGAACCTTTAGCCTCCTTCTAGTGTTTTTATAGTCAAATAATATGATGATGACATTGTCTCCCAGATGTAATATACTTGCCTATTCCTTTCATCTTTAAAGAGAAAATTCCTTTACATAAGGTTAGTTAACAGTTAGGCAGTTAGAACCTAAACTGACATACAATAGTTGGCAATTAGATTTTGCATAAATTAAGTGCCTTCTAATTATACAGCATTCAACAAAGCTAATCTTCAAATTTGTCCAAAAGAACTGTAGTAGTTTTGACTTATTTGAAATTCTAAGATTTTTATTTTCTCCTTTTTAATACAGTTCTCAGGTAGCTGCTCCGAAAAGGTATGTACGTAAAAGTGCTTTGAAAAATTTTTAACTATAGCAATTTAAATGACTAAGATTTTTAGTAACAAAACAACGGAAAAAAATTATTTTTTGTTCAGTAAAAATGGGAGAGAATTCTAGTGTCCCTAGTTCCACTGAGAAGTGAACAATGGGAACTCAAAATTTTGAAAACATTTGGGCAAAGGGAAAATTGGTTTTCTGTTAATTAGCAAATGTTCCAGTGGGGCTCTGTTTTTGTTGGGATGTGTTATGTTGTATGTACACATATATGGACCAGAGTTCTGCTGATTTATAAGGTTCAGAAAAAAATGGTTGGTAAAATCTTGATTTTTAAAAAATTTATCTCAATAAAAGCTCACTGGAACTCCAAACTTCCAAAAAAAAAAAAAAAGATTTTTAGCAGCTAATACATTATTTTTTATATACTAATGAACACTTTCAACCATTTGATTATGTGATTAACATTTTTTTAAAACAAGGTTAAAATGAATACAGGGTTATATTTAAAACAAATAAGGATAAGCTTTATTTTCATAATCAGAATATTTCCACTATTGTCACTAATTTGGACTTTGTACCCTAGTAGACAGGAGATAAAATTTAGTATATACTTTTTATTTTGGCGAAGCATCCCAACTTTTTCTTAAAAAATCATACCACCACAATTTGACAACTTCTATAATTGTGGCTTTACAATTATACATTTTCTTTACTGTTATACTACCTTATTTACTACTGACATTAGGGTCAGAACAGCGCTTAAAACCAAAATAGGTTATGTGTCAGTCTCTTGTGTAACTTTACCATGTATTATTCATTCCTGATGGAAAACAGTAACATCAGTCTACATTGAAATTGTTAAAAAGACAATGTCTTATCCCAGCTACTTGGGAGGCTGAGGCAGGAGGATCACTTGAGCCCAGGAGTTTGAGGTTGCAGTGAGCTATAGTGATGCACGCCACTCCACTCCACTGGGCAACAGAGCGAGACATCCTGTCTCAAAAAAAAAGTCTTGTTTGTGTGTGTGTGTGTGTGTGTTTTGTGATAAGCCCAAAAAAAGACTGAAATTGTACCAGCACTTTCTTTAAAGCTAAGATCACAGTGGTGCCCCACTTAAAATTGAAGAATCTGATACAAGACTCTTCAGCTGGCATTACTGGCATTACATAGGCTCAAAGATGTTCAGGCATACATAGTGAGAACAGTGTCAAATATTAGGTTGGTGCATAAGTAATTGCAGTTTTAGCATTGTTGAAATTTGCTGTTTGATGTTGGAATGCATTCTTAAATAAATGTGGTTATGTTATACATCATTTTAATGTGCATTTTTTTTGCTAATGACTTATTACTTGCTGTTTATTTTACATTTATTTTAGACTTTGGAAATGTTAGACAAAAAGCAAATTATAGCACTTTTCTTGTTCAAGTTCAAAATGAGTTGTAAAGCAGCACAGACAGCTTGCAACAACAACACATTCGGCCCAGGAACTGCTAACGAACATACAGTGGCAGTGGTGGTTCAAGAAGTTTTGCAATGGAGATGAGAACTTTGAAGATGAGGAGTGCAGTGGCTGGCCATTAGAAGTTGACAATGAGCAATTGAGAGCAATCATCCAAGCAATCCTCGTACAACTACACGAGAAGTTGCCAAAGACCTCAAAGCCAACCATTCTATAGTTGTTTGGCATTTGAAGCAATTGGAAAGGTGAAGTGTCGTTTTCTCTTCTTGTACTCAACAACGAACCATTTCTCGATTGGGTGTGATGTGTGACAAAAAGTGGATTTTATACGACAACCTGCAGTGACTATCTCAGTAGTTGGACCGAGAAGAAGCTCCAAACGCACTTCCCAAAGCCAAACTTGCACGAAAAAAAATGTCATGGTCACTGTTGGGTGATCTGCTGCTGGTCTGATCCACTACAGCTTCCTGAATCCTGGCGAAACCATTACATCTGAGAAGTATGCTCAGCAAATCGATGAGACACACTGAAAACTATAACGCTTGCCGCCAGCATTGGTCAACAGAAAGGGCCCAATTCTCCACAACGCCTGGCCACATGTCGCACAGCCAGCACTTTAAAAGTTGAACGAATCGGGCTATGAAGTTTTGCCTCATCTGCCACATTCAGCTGATCTCTCACCAACAGACTACCACTTCTTTAGGCATCTTGACAACTTTTTCAGGGAAAACACTTCCACCACCAGCAGGATGCCGGAAATGCTTTCCAAGAGTTTGTGGAATCCTAAAGTATGGATTTTTATGCTACAGAAATAAGCAACTTATTTCTTGTTTGCAAAAATGTGTTGATTGTAATGGTTCCTATTTTGATGAATAAAGATGTATTTGAGCCTAGTTATGATGATTTAAAGTTCACTGTCCAAAACCACACTTACTTTTGCACCAACCTAGTAAATACCTACCTTGACACATGTGGGAAGGCCAGTGGTTACATCCACCTTTCCTTCACTGTTCCTCTCATGAGGGATTTGTTCAAGATCCATGAATATCAGGAAGCAGAATTTAGAAAATGAAGTGACTGCAGATAGTAAGCTAAGCTGTTTTATATACTGTTATTGTCACTATAATTCAGGATCACAGTGAAGATGAGTAAGGGTTCCATTTATGTCCAAAAAGGAAGTTTTGTATTATGGGGGATAGGGGTAGACAGAGAAGAAAAGGAAGAGAAGCAGTTCAATAAATTAGTACTTAGTACTACAGTCACATTTACTAACTCAAGCAGACCTCCTCTCTTCCCTTACATAAACCAATAAACTTTCCAAATAGCTCCTTTGGAAATATATTTAATAGTGTTTCAAAACTAAGCCATTGGCTCTGCGTGGTGGCTCACGCCTGTAATCCTAGCACTCTGGGAGGCCGAGGCGGGTGGATTGCTCAAGGTCAGGAGTTCAAAACCAGCAAGAGCGAGACCCCGTCTTTACTATAAATAGAAAAAAATTAATTGGCTAACTAATATATATATAGAAAAAATTAGCTGGGCATGGTGGCACATGCCTGTAGTCCCAGCTACTTGGGAGGCTGAGGCAGCAGGATTGCTTGAGCCCAGGAGTTTGAGGTTGCTGTGAGCTAGGCTGACGCCATGGCACTCACTCTAGCCTGGGCAACAAAGTGAGACTCTGTCTCAAAAAAAAAGAAAAAAAAAAACCTAAGCCATTGATGAGTAAAATGGACAATCATTCAAATAGCACTTTGCCTTTGAGTCTAAAAGACTGAAGAGTACTAAGTCTCTCCTGGAAAGGAAAGGCTGAAGACAGAGGGAAAGGGAGAGTAATTATTGAAGTACAGTGATGGACAAGGCAGGAAGGGAAGTTTGGGCTCTAATAGGCCTTGCTAATGAGTTGGGACCTCATTTTTTTCAAACAAATCTTTATATTGAGTGGGTCACAGAAAGTAGGGATCTGTACTGTAACTGTTTCCTTCCCACTCCAAGTATGGCATTCTTTTAATGATGCATTACCTAAACCTGAATTGATTTTTATTTTAAATATATACTAGCATGGTTTGACAGTTAAACAAAATGTAATTTCTAAATATATTTATAAATCAGTTTGGGTTCTAACTGCCTAATAAATGTTAACTATCTTTATGTAAAGGACTTGTTCAAATGATTGGAGGGAATAGAAAGTATATTATTACATTTAAGAACCTGTCTGAGGAAAGTATATCATTACTATTTCCTTCCACCTTATTTTTCATTACAGAAACTCTTGAAAGGCTAGATGATAAGAGTTCCCAATAAGAGTAACTTTGTAGAATATCTTATTTCAGAAGAATGACTTAAGACAGGGAGCTAATGTGATTTTATATGCCTAACTGGAATTTATGCCATATGTAGTTAACAAACTCAAGCAGGAATTTACCCAAGTCATTCTTAGTAATGAACTTCAAATTTGGTTTCCTTTAGGTTTGTTAATCTCCATGTATTCACTGTCAGAATTATGCATTTTAATATCTTTCAATTTCTCTAAAACATTTTTTAACACTGTCTCTTTTTTGAAGTATTTCATTGAACTCTCCAAGCTTCTCATGTATCTCTAACAATTTCTGTTTTCACTGGCTTTTTTATTTTTTCTTTTTAACCCTGAATGTTCTCCTTGGTTCTGTTCCCAGTCTCCTCTCTTCCTTCTCTGCACTCTTAAGTGGCCTCCCTCATCTCCTCTACTTTTCATGATTTTGTCTATTACCTATGCATAGATGATTCCAGTTATCTCTCAAGTCTGAATTTCTGTTTTAAGTTCTGTTTACTTCAAGCTTAGCATAGCCAAAATAGAACTCTTCTTATATCCCCTTCTTATCCAGTTTTCAAATTTCTGTTAATAGTTCCAGCCATCTTCAGAGACACCTTAGTTTGAGTGTTATCTTTGGCTCTTTTGTCCCTCATCTGCCTAATATGATCAATTGCCTAGTCATGTTCATTTTACGTTGGCAGTCTCTCTTGAATACATTCTTCCCTTTAATTTCCTTTGTCACCACTCTACAACAGGCCCTACTGTTCTCATTTGGACCACTGGAATAACCACCTGATTTCCCAGTACTTTGTCTCTGTATCAGTTACCTTTTGCTGGAAAATAAATTACTTCAAAATTTAGTGGCTTAAAACAGGAGTGACCATTTTATTTAGCTCAGAATTCTGAGTCAGCCGGACAGTTCTGGGGTTGTTTGGCTGATCTTTCTGGGCTCTTTATGTGTCTGTGGTCAGCTGGTGGGTCAAGTGGAAGCTGATCTAGAATGGCCTCACTCTCATGTCTAGCAGTTTGCAGGCTGGTGGCTGGGTACCTCATTGCTGCATATAGTCTTTTTATCCTCCAGCAGACTATTTTATTCTTATTTACATAGTAGTCTCAGGGTTCTAAGTATAGCATGAGAGGGCAACTCCCACTACACAAGTGTTTTCCAAGTCTTTGCTTAGATCCTACTTGCTGCTGTTCAAGCCTATATTCAAGAATGGAGAAACCAGTTATAGATTCCTTTATTCCTTCTTCATTCCCACTGCTTTCATTTGACCAGCCTTAAAAAAAGAAAGAAACTGAACCTCTAATGAGAGGGGCCACAACGTTACATCACAGAGTGCCAGGAAGAATTTGTGGTCATTGTTATAGTATGTCATATTTTCTTTTTCTGGTTTATCCTAAAATAGCTACTAATTTAATTTTTTTACAACTGGGCTCTGATTGGTTTATATCTCTGCTTAAAAACTGTCAGTAGCACCTTCTTTCTTTCCCCTGAATGAAATATAAGAACATTAGCATCATTTACCTCAATCCATTTTTCTAGCTTTATTTTTTCTCTGTTTCACTTTCTGAACTGGCCCACCTGGCCTTTAAGACCCAGCTCATATATGCTGCCCCTTTCATGACTCTTTCCAGATTTTCCTCTTCTCAACTCTCATGTTCACTTCATTCTGTTCCTTAAGTTGAAATGGTTTCCTCTTCTTTGGGTTTCTCATAGCTCTTTGCACCATTCTTGTAGTAGTTGTGATTTTTTTACTTTGTTATAATTGTATGTGTATGTGACTTACATCCCCTTCCAGACTGAGAACTCTTTAAGTGCTGGAACCTGAGCTTGTTCATCTTCATAGCAACCCAGGCTTAATATTTAGAATACTGTCTTACACACAACCATCAAATATTTGAATGAAATTTTGAATAATGACTATTTCCCACAGTTATTATAATGTTAATTTTTAAAATGTCAGTTGATTTTTAAAATTTTCTTTCAGACCAGAAACTAGAGAGCAATATCCAAATAAATTTATCCAACGAGATGACACTGAAAGATTTTACATTCTGAACACATTATTCAACCTACCAGGTAGATTCATTCTATGCTTATTTATACTGATAATTTCCCTTCTTTCTATGACCATTAGTCTTTGCTTAAGGGAGATAATGAAGTAAGTTTGAATTATTTCACTTATAGCTTATGAATATGTATTCTTCGTTTTTCAGAGACCTACCTGTTGGCCTGCCTAGTAGACTTTTTTACTAATTGTCCCAGATATACCAGGTATGTATATACTATAATTTTTTTCAATTGATTTTTTAAATTAATTTACAGGGTTTTAGAGAACTGGCCATTGTAGGTCTTTTCTGCTTTTCTAAAGTGAATTTAGTGCTAGTGAGAGATGCCACATTGCCAGCCTGAGAGATGGGACAGCACCAGCAGCTCCATGCAGGCCCTCACCTCCCACACGGCCCTCTCCTTGCCAGTGTGCTGCAGCCGTGTTTGGAAGGGACCACTTCTGATTGGCTTCTCCTGGGAATGAAGACGGCCAGCAGAGGTGCTAATTGTGACAACTGAGTGGGAGGTTTGTGTGATGATTATCTGTCCAAGCAGAATTACACTAAAACCCCCCAACTCATTTCACAGCAGCTACCCAGGAGCCATTCAGGGATGCTAATTTAGTTTCATTCCCAGGCCCAGCAAGATTTGATTGAGGAATAAATACTGTTTATCTTCCCTGAAGTAAAATTCTACTTAAGTCTTAAACAAGTTTCCTCACCTTTTAAGGGAGAATTGTACAGCCATTGCTGAAAGTTTAGTCATAGATGCAAGAGTTTGATAACTTCTGATCCTCTTTATGCCTTATCTACTTTAAGACACTAAATTTGGTGGGAAGCTGAGTCACTAAGCTAAACAGAAAATGGACAATACCTTTGTACTTAGGGACAATGTCAGAAAAGTCAGAGTCAAAAGAATCTAAATGACCGATTTTGAGTTTTAAATGCTTCTTCAATGAGAACCTGTTTCTAAAAAGTGATAAATAAAAGAACCTGGTATTTTGGGATCTTTGGCCTTTTAGCTTCCATTCATTATATTCTATCACTTTGTATTTGTTCACAACTATTGTAATCCATTGAACGCTATAGCCATTTCTGGTGGTCAAAAGATTTTCATTAGGGAGTAATAATTTTCCTAATTAGTCATAGTCTTTACCCATGTGATATGGAACCTTTGAGTCCCCTGGGCAAATTTAATACTCATTTTCTTTACCCTTTTTTGGATTCCCTGTCATGTTTTTTTTTATCTTTCTGTAGCTGTGAAACAGGATTTAAAGATGGGGACCTCTTCATGTCCTACCGGAGTATGTTCCAGGATGTAAGAGATGCTGTTGACTGGGTTCATTATAAGGTACCTAAAAGGCTCCTTCTTCACCTACTCACTCTTTGGCATGTGTTTTATGGTCTGACATTAAAAAACTTTCCACATGCAAATGGAACATTTTTTCCTTTGTTTAAAAAAAAAATGGACTTGGCTCTCTAGAAGACATTTGTTCTTGTCTTTGGCTGTGCTGCTCTCAGAGGTAATTCTGATCTTTCCTTAGTGGTGGTACTTGGCTTCTAGATTTTATTCCAGTTTGCATTTCTCAACTTACTTAGAGATTACTGCATTAGATTATACTTAACATATCCTTCGTAGATGATAATGGTCTGTTTTTTTTTCTGTCCAAATGTCTCCCACTTGACTAATAACATTAACTAGTTAATATTAAGTTTACATTTATTATAAACTGTATTGAATATGATATGAAATATCTTTTTATTTCTAATTTAAAATAGAAACAATTTTATATTTTGAAAACATTTTAGAGGCAGAGTTGTAGCAAATCATACCTGCTCCTTTTTCCTGGCCTTCTCTGTCTTTTCTGTTTTGGTAACTACTAAAGAAATGCATGTGAGTTGATAGTAAACATATTTTTTCTTATAAACTAAATGTGAAAAACTGATTTTTGTTCTTAGTTCCTTTTTTTCTTCCCCTAGGGCTCCCTTAAGGAGAAGACAGTTGAAAATCTTGAGAAGTATGTAGTCAAAGATGTAAGTAGTATAGGGAAAAATAATCTGCATAATAACTTATTTTACCTGCAGGAAAATGAAATAACAAGACTATTTATAATGAAATGGACAAGGGAAGATATTTATTTTTCTTGGCATAGTATGTGCCAGGTATAATCACCAAGAATTACCAATCAGCATAGGTCTCAGTAGAGTTTTTCCTGTTTGTCGACAGGCAAGAAGACCCAGTATTTCATTTGTCCTTTTAGCTCTAATTATAATAATAGCAGCTAGAGGTTTACTGTGCGCACATCACTGCGCTAAGTGATTACATGCATCATGCCATTTAATCTTAACTGTAACCCTGAGTTAGTTATTGTTTCCTCTGTTATAGATGAAAAAATTGAGGAATAGAGGGAATAAATAACTTGCCCAAGGTCACACAGTTAGTAAGTAGTGAAGCCAGGATTCATACCCAAGTCATAACCACTGTATTAGATCATCTCAAAAATGTGCATATGTATGACTGTTATTTAAAATGCCTCTAACCTATCAACAAGGAATAATGAGGAAAGCTTTAAAATACCTTAAAGACATTAATGGAAAATTTAATAAAATTCAAAAAAATCTGTAATTAATGGCATTGTACTAATGTAAATTTCTTAGTTTTGATTATTGTACTGTGGTTATATAAGATGTTAATATTAAGGGAATTTGGGTAAAGAATGTATGAGAACTCTCGATACTATTTTTACAACTTTTCTATAAATCTAAAATTATTTCATAATATAAAGTAAATATAGAGCCCCAAGATGAAATACTTATCTTTTCCTACAGAGTTAAAAGCAGAATATGGTATTTTCTCAAAGTTCTGTGGTAAAAATTTCTTGTTTTCAGTCTTTGTGTCTCCTGTTTCCACCCACCTCCCTTACGATTTTCAAGAAAGAACACTGAATGGGGAGAGTCCAGGAGAATTTGAGTAAAGGAATCTATTTACTGTGAGAGAAGGAAAAGATGTTTTTCTTTCCAGACACATTAGGAGTTAGAATTTCCTCATTTGTCTGCAGGGTGGGTGATTTCTAGGTTGCACCTGCACATGTTATTTTATTCTGCAAGGTGTTTTATAAAACCATAGGATACACAATGAAGCCATATCTAATAATCTCTATATAATAGAGTATTTGTGGGTAATGTTTAAAACCAGCTTCTCCCTGATCGCTATCGTACCTCACATACTTCAAGAAATCTCAAGGTAATTTAAACTCTTTCCTGAGGCAGACATCACGAGGAAGGTGGAGTTATGTTGTAAATGACCATATAAACCATGTAAATATGTGTATCATTTTACATATAAATCTGTTATATAAACTATACTATATATGTTAATACTTTATTCATGCATGGTGATAATGTGGATGTTTAAATGCAAAATTCTGAAACCAACTAGCCCTAACAGGGCTTCCCCTATTCCTATTTCAATGGATAGAAATCCAGTATATGACTACCCTGACATATACAAATATTTTAGTGTTTCACTCATTAACATATTACATTTCAGGGAAAACTGCCTTTGCTTCTGAGCCGGATGAAAGAAGTAGGGAAAGTGTTTCTTGCCACCAACAGTGACTATAAATATACAGATGTAAGTACTTAGTATTCATATTTGTTTGTTCACATAGAAGAATTATTTTGGCCTAAAGAACTGTGAAGATAATGAGGAGGATAGAATTTTATTAAGTGAAGGTAGTTTCTTGCCATCTCATTTTGAAAGCAGAGTGGAAAAAGCAAAAATATATAGGATAAAATCTATGTCAGAGTGGTTCTCAATTTTTCTAAATGTTCATGTTAACTATTTTCCCTTATTATAAAAGGCTACTTGAAGGTTTTAATTTTGGGGTTTAAAACATTTGTGCTTATCACATGGCTTCTATGCTTTTTTGGAGCATCATTTATATAAACTTCAGTCATACTCTTTATTGATCTGTATATGTTTTGAATCTTAGCTGTCAAAATTTACTGCCTCTTAACCTAAAAAGAAAATTTTCCCATTATTAAAGCATGTGGAAATACTGATTTAACTCTTTAACTTCATTTTATTTTTGCTGAGACACAAGTTTATAGTACTAGCAAGAAGTTTCACTCCCCCCACTTTACTGTATGTAAAATCTTTATTTAAATATCTGGTGACTTGTATTAAACAGTCTTACAAAACCAGTGGTTTGTTAGTTGGTCTCGGGCCAATAGTAGCAAGGCCAGGGTAACATATTATATCCATGTGAATCATTAGTTTTCTCTATACCCTTACCTCCTAGGCCCCATACCTCCAAATATATATTCAAAAACATCCTCTAGAAGAAGCATGTATCCTCCCTGAGAATGTTAGAAGCTTTTGTTGTTGGTATGATGAAGCATTAATTTTTAGCTTCCACTGCCATTATTTCATAAACTTTAGAGGAAACAGGAATGTGATGAATCCTATATTGAAAAAGACATGTTCTATGAAAAACTTGTAATTTTTTTGTAGGTGTATATATCTTGTGCAAAAATCATATATGGACCTTACATTGTTCTTTTTTTCTCCCTCCCCAGAAAATTATGACTTACCTGTTCGATTTCCCACATGGCCCCAAGGTACTACATGTAACTTAAATGACCATTGCTTTAGTAATAATGCATTTAATCATTCTGGAATATGGAGAAGGGACTGGTCAGAACCCGCCTAGAAAAGTCCTACTTTTAAAGCCTACTGTCTGATCTTAATCATTAACATTAGAAGTAACTCAGGAGCTAGAAGAATTTAAAATCATTAGCAATTTGAATACTTGGTAGACAGAAATAAAAGGGATATTCACATGGTATTTAGTAGGATGGGATTAGAATAATTTTATGTCCAAGAAGTTCTATACAGAATTGTTAAGTTTGTTTGGCAGTGAAAGGAATTCCAAGGTTGAGGTAGATATTTGATTAACAGAAAAAGAAAATTTATATATATTCTTGACAACTTCTAGATTCTGCTATTAGCTATTGCTAAGTTTTGTGCCAAGAGAGCAGTTAACCTTGATGTTTAGCAGAAAAGTCTTCATTCTTGCATTATGGCTGCACTTAGGTTTAAGGAACGAATACCCATTGCAACTTAGTCACATACTTATAGAATTTTAGCCCTAGATTTTTGTGAATAAACATTAACAAACCCTGTTTTGAGATCACCCTAAATCACAGTGTGCAGTCCCCTTTAGCTTGGTCTTTGAAAGTTAATGCCATGGTTCCATTTCAGGATAGAAATAATTTTAATGGGTGTATAATTTCTACATTAGTGTTGTGTTTAGCCTGCAATATGAACCAAAGGCCAATGTGTTCCTAGAGCCATCATTCTGAAAATATAACCAGTAAAATTTCTTAATAATAGTTCCATGTTAGTTTAATATACTTTAGTTCTGATCTGCCTCTCTCTTAATCTGTCCCTTGGGTATTGATTTGCCCCTCTCTCTAGCCCATTTTGAGCTCCTTTTTTTAGCACATTTCAGAATGGGAGTATACAATTTCTTATATTAAAGTCCTGTGAAATAAGTTACTGGGTATATTAATAAATCTAATTACTGGAGTCATTTATTATTTACATCTTGCCTGCTTCTAAAAGGATATGGCTTATAATTAGGCATTTTTTAAATAAAATGATGGGATCTTTTGGCTTTACTTAGTATTTCTATATTCCTTGCATCTGAATGAGATTAAACATCAGTGCCTAAGGTAAACAGTGATGTTTTGGCTTTTGCTATTTGTTTCTCCTTCACCAGCCTGGGAGCTCCCATCGACCATGGCAGTCCTACTTTGACCTGATCTTGGTGGATGCACGGAAACCACTCTTTTTTGGAGAAGGCACAGTTCTGCGTCAAGTGGATACTGTAAGTCAGGAGGATGATCTGTTTGCTAGCACGCTGTTCTGTTTCTCTTTTCCCATTCCTACTCTCCTTACGGAAACATATATTTTTAACTTATTAGCCCATATCTCTTGAAATTAAGAGTTTTGGTCTTAACAAGAAGGCAGCCAAACAAACCCACTAATTCAAAAGAATAAGTGTCATTCATTTGACTGCCTGGCCAAGTAACATTGTTGGGGGAGATTATGATAAGATAATAAAGTTATCTATATTCTCTTCACACAGAAAACTGGCAAGCTGAAAATTGGTACCTATACAGGCCCCCTACAGCATGGCATCGTCTACTCAGGAGGTGAGTCACAGACTTCCCTATATTTATAATAAGTCTTTGCTCAGGCCTCACTGTGAAAGCTTTGGTGTTCTTCCAACATGGTGCCACATGTATTCTTTAGTATTCTAAAGATGTCATTTACTGAAGGTGAACAGTTACATCAGTCATTTACTGATGTAACAGGAATACAAGTTTGAGAAGTTGATAGTATGTCCTAATGAATCTGATTTTCACTAAAAGGATTTATTTTCCCTTTTTTTTAAACCTATTTGAGGCTTTTTCTCAATGTTTATAATCATTCGGGGTGCTTCCCAAGACATACTCAAGGAGCCTCTGTGAGCACAGGTACATATTATTTAGAAGTTAGAAACAATTGAACAAAGCCAGTTTAATGGATCTGTGATGAAAAATTGTGGTGGTACTTCTGAAGATTATATTCACTAAAGCTAAGACATGTAGTTTTGTTGCTCTTGGATTTGGTGCTCTGGTCAGCACATTGGAGCTGAAGGCCTTGTCTTAGAGCAATAACAAGAGAATGGTGAGTCTTTAAGCCTTTAAGAAAGGTGAGCCCTTTTTCTAATCTGCCACATAATTTTTTTTTTCTTTTTTTTCACATAATTTTAAGAATAAAATTAATCATTGTATCTAATGGTTATGGTACTTGGAACACTGGTTTTAATATAGAGACATTTTTGTTTTCTCATTGATCACTCCATTGTTTCAGGTTCATCTGATACAATCTGTGATCTGTTGGGAGCCAAGGGAAAAGACATTTTGTATATTGGAGATCATATTTTTGGAGACATTTTAAAATCAAAGAAACGGCAAGGGTGGCGAACTTTCTTGGTGATTCCTGAACTTGCACAGGAGCTGCATGTCTGGACTGACAAGAGTTGTAAGGAGCCGTTACTCTTATTTTATAAATCTTTGACATAGCTAGTTTATATCTAAATGGCCAGCTTTGAATCAATCCTATCTGATAAGCCATTACTTTGTATGCAGGGGGTCAGAGGCAGTCAAAAGGTGGGTCCTGATAGTTAGGTACCTCCTTCCTATATTCAGATATTTCACAGAACTCCAGAATTTGAGTAACTGTGAGAGGTTATCTTGTTTGGCCTTCTTGTATCTATCTCTTTGAGGTTAAGTATAGAATGTTGGTGTCCTGAGTTGTATTATACTAACAAGTGAATTGTGAACTAGAGCACTACTTTCCTCTATAGTCCCAGTCTCTCTGATTCTGGGGCAGTGACAGCTCTGAATGTTAATTACTTCCTGGTATTTTTTATTTTTCTCTTCTGAGGCCAAATTGTATTCTTGAACTGAGCTACACTGTACATATGCAGTATATACACTATCCTGAATTGAGCTATGGGTATAATTATATAAAGGTGTTTGACATGAGTTCTTTAGCCAGCCCTAGCTGGCTACAGTGTGGTGAAAGTTACTCTGGAAACTCAGCCCACCTGGGATAGGAACCCTGGCTCTACTACTTAAAATCTGCATGCACTTGGACAAGATACCCTGTGCCTTAGTTTCCTCAAATGTAAAAATGGGGATAAGAGTACTTACCTGCTAAAGCTGATGAGACTCAACTGAGGTAATATGTGTATAAAGAAGATAGAAGAGGCCGGGCATGGTGGCTCACACCTGTAATCCTAGCACTCTGGGAGGCCGAGGTGGGTGAATCGCTTAAGATCAGGAGTTTGAAACCAGCCCGAGCAAGAGTGAGACCCCATCTCTACTAAAAATAGAGAGAAACTAATTGGCCAACTAAAAATACATAGAAAAAATTAGCTGGGCATGGTGGCACATGCCTGTAGTCCCAGCTACTTGGGAGGCTGAGGCAGAAGGATTGCTTGAGCCCAGGAGGTCGAGGTTGCTGTGGGCTAGGCTGATGCCATGGCACTCTAGCCCGGGCAACAGAGTGGGACTCTGCCTCAAAAAGATAGAAATGACAGTCCATAAATAGAAAATTTATTATGTACAATGGATGAAGTAGGGCTTAATTATCTTGGGGAACCCAGGTTGAGAAAGGCTGCAATACACAGGAAGCATACAAGAGATGCTGGCTGCTGTGGTTACTACTGTCTGCAATATCAGTGGGGTTTTCTGGCTAGCCTTTCATCCACATTTTCAACTTTTCCACCTAAGAAGGTTTTGAAATCTAGTTGATTTGGCTCTACTGTTTCCTGGACCTGTGACTAAATTCTAATTCTCAATCCTTCATCTGAAAATGGGACTATTTACACTGCCTTTGCTGACTACATCTAAGACAGGGTATGAATTGGTACTTTGTAAGCTCAGAATGAACATAAATCTAGGAGAGTTGTAGTCAGTGGTATTTGGTGTGAGGAAAGGCAGTTAAAGAGGAAATTATGGTGTTCTGTTGCTGCCAGACTCCAAGTAGGTTATCAGTGGGTTTTCCTGAAGATGGAGGTCATTTCACGCACCTATAACATGTTACTCCCAGGCTATACTTTTCAGTCATATCTGCAACCTTTTAATTTTGTTTTAGCAGCAGTTAGGAACTGGGTGCTTTTATTTATTTAAAACATTTCCCTTTTCCTTCCAAACCTCAACTAGCACTTTTTGAAGAGCTTCAGAGCTTGGATATCTTCTTGGCTGAACTCTACAAGTAAGTTTCTTAATTCTAAAAATTCCTTCCCTGAATAACATCTGCCTCTTTGGGAGTCACTTAGCTATAAGAAATGTGCTTTCTAGAGATTTTCACTGAGTTTTTCTTTTGTCTTCAGGCACCTTGACAGCAGTAGCAATGAGCGCCCAGACATTAGTTCCATCCAGAAACGTATTAAGGTATTCAGACGAAACTTGGGAAATAAATTGAGTTTGATTTTTCTTATTTCTGGTTTTATATAGGGAATAGCACATAGCTGCTGCTCAATAAATATTTAATAAGCTGAGATTCTCATTCTTTGTTTTAGAAAGTAACTCATGACATGGACATGTGCTATGGGATGATGGGAAGCCTGTTTCGCAGTGGCTCCCGGCAGACTCTCTTTGCCAGTCAAGTGATGCGTTATGCTGACCTGTATGCAGCATCTTTCATCAACCTGCTGTATTACCCATTCAGCTACCTCTTCAGAGCTGCTCATGTCTTGGTGAGTTTAGGCTACAGCCTTAAGCTACTGTTGATAGCTAAGATGCACTCTAAGGCTGGCATCAGCAACCGGCTTTGTGGGATGGCATAGGAGACGGCTTGAACATTTGTGATATACAGAGCCCATGGGCAGGTATATGGTTGTGTAAGAAGGGGTCTTTGAGAAAGTATGACCAAAATAGGTTGATTGAAAGAAATGTAGTTTTTATATTCCTACGTTCTGATACTTTTCTGTTTTAAAACTGATTTTTTGCTATAAAAAAATCAGATTTTTTCCTCTTCATCTTATCCACTTTCAGGCTATAATAAACAATATGGACATGGTACTGGGGAAGAGGTAGATAGGCAGCATAGGTAGTTCTATGAAGATATATCTATATTGACCTGTCTTCTGGTCCACCATGGGCATAACTGTGCATGGCCATCTAACAGAGAAGAGTTAGGATTTGGGAAGCAGCTATTTTACTCTGTCTGCTTTCTGAGACTCTAGCCTTGTCCTATCTAGATGCCTCATGAATCAACGGTGGAACATACACATGTAGATATCAATGAGATGGAGTCTCCCCTCGCCACCCGGAACCGCACATCAGTGGAGTTCAAAGACACCGACTATAAGCGGCACCAGCTGACACGGTCGATTAGTGAGATTAAACCCCCCAACCTCTTCCCACTGGTCCCCCAGGAAATTACACACTGCCATGATGAAGATGATGATGAAGAAGAGGAAGAATAAAGAGGAAAACCAAAACCCTGAGCCCCCATTAAACGAGTTCTGGCAAGACTTACAGGAGCAAAGGATGTCCCTGTTTGGGTTCTACTGGGGTACGGGGGTAGGGGGATTCTATCAAAGGTACACCTGGAAAGTTTCTGAAGACTTTAAAATATTCTAATCATAGAGGGATACCTGTTTTAGTTTTGTGTATCTGTATTCTTTGCAGATGGTTCAAAATCATAATGGAGTCTATTATGGAAGAAAGGGTAAAAATCAGGCTGAACTGCATGCAGATGGCTCCACTGTGGCTTGTGACACTGTTTCCTTGTCTTTTTTCATCAGTATGTCATATACTAAGGGGGTGAAGGGTCTGAGTAGAACAAGAAGGACGATGGAAAGACGTGACCCAAAATGCTGTAATGTTACAAATTGTGCTATAACTCCAAAATCCAACTTTTTCAGTGCATTACACAGTATTATATCTCCATGGAGAAATATATTGTTTCCATTATCAAATGTAGTCTGCTGTTAAGGTCAAGTTTCCTTTCATATACCTTTTCCCCAGTGACTCTGGCAAGGCTACTTCTCTAGCAGTAGCTTTGCAGTAGTATTCTCTGCTTGCTTTAGGGCTGAATTGGACTGCAGGGACTATTTTGAGGTAAAAGACTGCATCCTTTCTACATTTTTTGTTTGATAGTATAAATGCTTATTTTTTTAAATCCACAACCAATCTTTTTCTCATCTGTGATATAAAAAGAATTAGCTGAAAGGACAAAGGAGCAAACCCCCAGAAAAGGAAAGGAGAAACCTCCTCCCTCCATTACAACTGAGTAAAATTCCTTAGTCTGGGCTATACAGTTGTGGCTCATGCTACCCCATTCCAGATTCTGTCCACTAGGGTTTTACTGTTTTATTTTAAAATCGAGCATTGGAGGATGGGAAGAGGGCTCTGTAAGCCAGATTCTTACTAAAGCAGACGGCACAATCAGTGTGAATAAATTCACTTCAGAATCCCAAGTGAAATCACTTCTTGTTTTGAATAATGAATCATTACTGGTATATGTTAGGGTATTATAATTACCTCACCGTACAGTGAAAGTTATTCCAACATTTTTAACAAGTGGCATAGACTCTTACTTTAACCTTCATATATTTTCTTCCATTCTTATTATCATTGGTAAAGAGGGGTGGGTAGATTAGCTGTTCTAGAATTCAATAAAGTATAATATTTCTAATACTGACTTTGACCCCTTCTGTAGCACAACCGTAATAGCTGATGGTTTTCAAGTGGGTTTGGTTTAGTGACATCAGTTTAACTTTTGCTCTTAAAGGAAATATGCCCAGATCACTTTTAAAAAGAAATATTCAAGAATTGATATAGTCCACAAAGTTTTCTGGAACAGAACTGTGAGATGACGCTTTTTAAAAAGTCACTTTATAGGTAGGAGGCACAACTCAGCTACTTAGGGATGCACGTGGCTTTAGATTAAGTCATTTGAAGAAACATACATTTTAAATGCTAGCTGTTGGGAATATATGCCCCTTTAAAAGAATCAGGTTAGAAATGCTATTGCGAACAACAATTAGACCCTTGGTTCCTGTTTTAAAATTTTAAGGAATGTGGTCACTCCAGTTCTAATTATTCTCATTCAAGATGGAGATGTTGCCCAGTTTGACATAGAAATTATTGGGAGTTGAGAAAATATTAAGTGCTAGTTACAACTACAGAGCCACTTTATTATAACAGTACATTTATGTATATTCCTTTTTAGAGCAAGGACCACATGTTCACTTTGCTTTAATAAACTACACTTTTTCTATTACGTCCATGTAAGAGTGTCTTACTAGCCTAGATGACTCTCTAGGTCCAAAGATGGGGAAGGTAAAAACATACAGTTGGATTAATAATTCCACTACTAGTCACAGCTTTCTCTAGGACCACCAAAACATATCAAAGAGCAAGGATCCCACAAAAAGTCTGAAACCCAGAGCAAAGTGTTGCTTCTCTGTATGTCCTCCTTGTTAAGTCAGTGGTTCATGTGCAGGCACCTAAGATAGCTATGATTGGGCTTTTCAAAACACGAATTATGGGTTTCTCCCTGTTGCTAGTAGTTAAGGTGAACTTAAATGTATACTTTTCCTTTTTTTTTTTTTTTTTTAACCTGAGTTGTATACCATGAGTAGACAGATCTGCCATCTCTCTTGAGAATTTTTTCCTAGGTATTTTGAAAACTACTTATTTACAGGCTTTGTAGAACACACCCTCTTCTTGAGTGCTAGACTGAACTCCCAACCTTAGAGCATGAACTAACGGGGACCCTGGCCTACCTGGCAGTTGGTCAAAGGTACAGCAGACTCAGGTCCTGCTGGGTTTCGTCTGCAAGAGGAATCACCCAATATATTCACCTCTGCAAAGATAGTCAGTTAAAGCTCTGATCATGTACTTCAGAAAAGTTGTTCAAAGCCAAGTTCAGTGTTCTGTTTTAGACCTAAGATTTTTCTCTTACTATAGCATAGCTCTGCTGAGATCTAAAAAATAGGGCAAATCCTTCAAGCTACCTTTTCTAAGATGCTTTCAGAAGTGGTTTTTAATAGAACTATAATAAGTGAGTGCTACAAATCCTTAAGTCATGTTAGTATTGTTTTTAAGAAACCACTTATAAAAGCCACAAGTAGTTACATGGCAGATTTAAAAGTATTTTGCCCATGTTTAGATATTTCTAAATCAGATTTATTTATTCAAGAAATATTTTGTCAACAACTTTAAAGCCCAGCAATTTTTCCAAGGCTGCCTGGGCATTTTAAAATACTTTGCTTATTCACCACAAATAGCCTGAGACAAACAACTGCATATTTAAGTCTGTATTAGGGTAGAAACCTTGTCCACATTCCATGTTATGGAAACTACTTAATCTCTCTTTGACGGTGGGAAAAATGGTAACTATGATCCAGCTATTGCCATACAGTTAATGCTCCCAATTCCTCCCTTGGTTTAGTAGTTTAGGACTCAATACTTACATTTCTCATGACAATCTTTCTTGTTGACTAGGTCCATCCAGCTCTTCTTAAAGTTTTTCTTGAACTAGAACAATTTCAGATGATACACAACTTTGGGAGGCCTTCAGAATGAAATAATCTAGCATGGGTGCTACCTGAGCAACTGTGAAGATAGAAAATGTGTACTAAAGGAATGGGGATGATGTGCACATGTACGGCAGAAAGCAGAACCAGGTGACTTCTAGCGACCCATACTGTCCCATTATACACCTCCACTAACGAGAAAGTAGCATGTCACACTGTTCTCTCACTGCTTAGTATCTAGAAATAGCAGAAAGCAAGTTATCTAAAAAGAGAGCACACTTGTTTAGAAAATGAACAAAACAGCTTTTCTATTCTTTAACCTGGATTTCTCAACCATTTTCCCTACCCCCTGACACATCTTCGTCCCAAGACTATAACAGTATGACTTGTTCCAGCAAAGGCTAGTAATTTCAAAACTAAAACACACAGTTAAGTCCCTCTGTAGAGCTTTAACACAAAAAAGTACTCCAATTGAACATAGAATATTTCATCTCGCACTTGCTGCCTGTATTACTTTAAGTCTAATGAATCTATGTTTTCCAATTTAAAACAAAATAATCAGTTTTGAGTCTGGTCCCTTTATGTTTCTTCACACAAAACAAGATGCCTTTTCTCCATTTTATTAGTAGAGTAAGAGTGGATTAGATAGATTAGTTCATGAATCAAATTAGGTCCAAATGCTCTGATCTCCCATTGAGCTATTCCCAAAGCCATATCTGGCCAGGGATGTAGACAAGGCCCGAAGAGTCTGGACTGAGATAAACCTCCCCACACAAAGTGGAGCCTGAGCAGCTGAGCATACATTCTTGCCATGAAAGACAGCAATAGTCCCTCCAAGTCTCAAGTTCCTGAGATACTTGGAAAGAGGTTTTGCCAAGCAAACCTTCCCCACACTGAAAAGTATATTAAATGTCCGGTCTTTTTTGAGAGAATGTTCTCACCAGAGGTAATGTTTGACTTATGAGTGCGGGCATTTTGTAGGAAATAATTGCATTTTTTGATCCATTGCCCTCAAGGATGTAGCAGAATCGTGGTAGGAAAGCTGGCTTGATCTAAAACTTCCTGTCCTGTTTTAGCCTGTTTGAATATTTCACAATCAATACCTTAAAAGGAAAGCACTTTAAAGAAGTCGGGCAACTGATTCCCCCTTAGAAACTTACATTCTCAGGCCTTACAATCATCCATCAGGGAGGTGGCATGGCATCAGAAAGTCACAGAGAAAAGGGCCCTATAACCATCCCTTTGGACTTCCTGAAAATAGCACAGATGTAAGGCCCTTGGAGGGAAAATGATGAAACCACCATACAAAGAAAGCAAAAGAGTTTATTAGCCATCTAATATAATTCAACTTTTTGGCTCTCATAAGGAATTAATCTCATTATAAAATTTATTTACCTTCAAAAAGTATAAAACAAGTTTCCATAAATCAACTCCAGGCTATAAAAAGGTCATTCAGTCACTTTCTCTACAAGACCCTCTGACATACTTGTTTCCTCAGAAGTGCCGAGTTGAGGGGCTGTGGGGAGCACAGTTATGTGAAACCAACCCCAGAGCACATCACAGTAGAGCTGAGAAATGAACTGGCACATGTGTACTCAGGATGCAGAAGGAAAGCTTAGGCAAAATCTCATCTTAACAGGAGGGAAAAAATGCCTCCATTTTCCTTGGGTCATTTCCTGATTTGAGCTCAGGACTCACCTAGACAAAGTGAGTAAAGCAGCAGTTGGGAGTGAATGTGTTGCAGTGATTTCCTTCCCTAGCTCTGCTTTCTGCCCTGCTTAAGGGAAGCAAGCAGGCTCCCAAAACACAGCTCCACTGCGATGTGGACAGACAGCATTCTACTTTCAGGAGCTTGGAAGGTGGAGTAGTGGTTAGGGCAGGGTCTCAAAGCCAGCTTGTCAGCATCTCTTCACTGAAACGTCTCCATCCACAGGACAAGCGTAAGCAAAGTTGACCGCAGATGCATGGTTAAATAAATCTGGTGGGGACTATAAAGGACCAGTCAAGGGGCTCAATTCTCAGAGTATGATCCTCTTTGGAATGTAAAATAGAGATTAAGAGTGGGGGAAAAAAGGATTCTAAAAAGGTACAATCTAGGAATGTATCACAGAGAGGCACTGAAGCTGCCCCAGAAGATATTCAGGGTCTGCTCACATAAGCAAGGAGGGTAAGAAAGAATAGAAGACTTATAACGGTGATAGAAGAGGATGTGGACCATACCACTGGATTACTGGGGAATGTGAGATGCAGACTGAATCCTAAAGAACATCTGAATATACCTCTGACACTCAGGCTGAGTGTGTCCAACCTGAGGGCGACTCATCTATATGCCTCCTCCAACCTTCCTCCCAGGCTTAACATAGCAGAGGACCTACAAAGTCATTCTTGTCTTCACAAGCCAATTGAGAGGCCTGAATGAGGCCTTTGGTCTTGCCTAGGAAAAACCGGCTCAGCTGAACTGGTTGTTGTTAATGACTCAGCAGCCAACATCTGGGTAATTTAACTGGATACTCGGAGTGTCTTTATCTACAGAGTAACTGATGAGGGGACACCCCTCTTCCTAGAATTGGCTGTACCAGGTTATAACTTGAAGGCACAGAACTAGCACCCACTTCTAACACAAAACTTTGCAGCATCTATCCAAAGGAGATGCCCTGCTGAGATCCAGTCGCAGCTTTCTTGTCAGTAAAGCCAGCAGCTAGAACTGGACAGGGTGGTGGGTTCAGCCAGGCTAACACGATGGCGTGGTTGGTGTTGCATAGATGTAAGGGGAAAGAGGGAACACACATCTGCTGGAAGGGTGAACAGAAAATCATCATTTATCTAAATAGAATAGAAATAAACAAAACCTTTTTAAAACAATCACAAAATTTACAAATAAATTGGTACAAAATAAATAGGAGATTGTAAATCTACAACATTTGAATTATAAAATGCATTCATTATGACAATCAGCTCATGAAACCTATACATGTCATTTGTGCTTATTTAGGTTTATGTACACAGCTCTGAATACTGTGTTCAGAAAACTTCACTGCTTAAATGCATGAAATGTACACTATGATACAGTGAGCCAAGGCTAAGGAGAATAAAATTCAGACACAAAGCAGGGTCTTATTTGAGGGCCAAGGCAATGTTGGCACTGGCCCTCAAAACCAAGAAAAGGCATATTAAGAGCCCAGGTGGGCAGGCAGCTTCCATGGTCCAGAAAGATGGATTCTGCAATCCAAGGTAAGAAGTAGAGGCCTTCATTGTTTTGGTGCCAGGCAACTGACCTGGCTTGGGAGGGCGGAGGTAAGGAAGGAGGCTATACTGTACTACTACAAAGGGGAAGAGAGCCAGTGACCAAGAAACCACCTCCGAATTATTTCATGGAGGTACTTGAGAGGCCTTGACACAAAAGGAGGAGACCTGCCTCCATCCTCATTCCAAACACTGGTCATCGGGAGGAGAGGTGCACCCAATTAAAGGGGCCTGGGGTGCTAGAGCCAACATGAGAGCCATAACCTGCTTACCAAAAAAAAAAAAAAAAAAAAAAGCCAAAAACACCACTCCCCTCTCACCCAACTTAAAGGACAACAGAACCCTAAGAGCCATGGATGAAGGGCTTCAAAACATCTTATTTTAGTCACAGATGATGTACTAACAGTAGAGGCATATGTACATAATAAATATTATAAAATAAAGCATATACATTTATGGATTTAAAGGATTCCAGAAACAAGAAAAGTCAATGGATTGATAACACTCCACCTTCACAGTAGACGTCAGATATGGGGAGTAATGAATCAGAAGCTAGGCTGGGGCTCTCTAGGGAATGAGACTCCCAAGACCTCATTCTTCCCCACTTCCCTCTGCTCTGGGAGCCTGAAACACTAGCTGTTTATAGTCAAGGAGCCTGAGCCTCCAACGAAAAGGGCAGGCACCCAAACCCCACAAGGCCCACTTGATAGTTCTCTGCAGGGTTAATCTGAAGAGGAATCTGGCTCCAAAAGAATCACTTCCTAGGTGAATCCTCATAGATCAGACATGGGCACATGCCAGAGGGGACCCTTCCAAGAGAGGCAAGATAATACTCCCAAGTCATTTTTCTAATTTGTTCATGGTCCCAATGGGTATTAAAACTTGAAAACACTGTGTATTCACTCAAGTCTGTCTTACAGTATGTGTTGGATCTGTGTACGTAAAAACCTTTGCATATAAACACCTAGAACTTTAGTCTCTTGCCACTAGAACCTTTGTTCCCATGTTGCTTTAAGTATAACCTGGTATTTCCCATCAAAAGATGTTGAAAACGACTGTATTTAAGATGATGTCAGTGGCTCTAGCACACAGAGAGAAGAGAGTCAAGCAGAGATCTAAGAAGCAAAGGGCTCCAGCCCAAGATGGTGGGAGGAAAGCTGCTCCCTACTCCACAGTTGCTGTGAACTGTCATCTCCTCTTCCTGTCCTTAGGGCTGGCCAGGGAATCTGGAATATGAATCTTCTGATGGGAAAGAAGGTGGGCAGAAGGAAAACCAGCAAGTAAGCATTGACTGCAGGCAGAAAGCTTGCAAATGCTAGAGGAAGAAGGCCCATTTGTCACAGCCTTGAGGGACAGTATTGTCAGCAAGCTCTGCCTTGGTGCACCATTGACCCCTCAAATGGAGGCAAAAGAACCCAGACTTAGAAGTCTCTGAACTCTTGTCTCTTCTCAGTCCACTCCAATACAAATATGAAAAAGATTTGCAAGTTGCCCTGAGGTGTAAAAATCCACTGAGTAGGTTCATTGATAAATGTATAATCAGAAAAGTTTCTGAATTCCCAAATCACTTTCATAGTCAACTCTCTAAATCCCTTCCAATTCTGGGCTAACCTCCAACTCACCCAGATGCTTTGCTGGACAAAAGCACCCCTAGCCCAGAGCCCAGAATGAAACTAAACCTGGCCCAGAACAAAAGCCTGTTTCCTCAGTAATAAAGTGAGCACTAGGCACCTTGGGAGCCTCCCAGACCCTAACCTGCCAGCTCAGCTTTGTGTTTCTCCTCAACCCTTGGCAAGAAAAGGCCATCTGTGGGATCAAAAGCTGAGAGGGGAGTTGTTCCTGCTACCCACACCAGTGGGGATTCTTGGGTCATGCAATGCAATGTACAAAGCCAGCCCTCCCTGGCCTGCTCTTGCTTGGAGCCCCAGGAAACAAGGTGAGCACCTTCCTATGCCAACCCAGAGGAGTCACCTGCCAGGGGTTACCCCTGGAGAACAGTGGGTTAAACTCGGTCACCCAGGAGACCTAACCTTCCTGGGCCCAGGCAAGGCAAGGATGGCCACAAATCCCTGGCTGGCCTTCGTATGACGACAGAGAGTTGGTTGTGTTTTTACCAGCAAGAACACAGGCTTAATCACCCAGGGCAGGCCTACTTGGGTCTGCTCCTCAACTTAAAGAGAAAATTTGAGGGCAGAAGTACACGGTCCCAGCTTAGCTCAAATTCCTATTGCTCCATTTCTTAGGGAAAATGCATTTCTATTTGTATCTACTACTATTTTCCTAGACTTGGAAAAGATGGTCCTTTAGTTGTATGGTACTGAGGACAGCACAGGTAAATGTATTCACAGTTAATGTTCCATATTAGTGTGAAGGTCTCCATTCAAAGTTTGCACAAAGTTCCTTGAAATAATATTAGAAGATGGTAAGATGCCCTACCCCCTTGCACTTGGGGAAGCCAACCATGTTCCTTGGGCTCTGAACTCTGCAGGGCGTGAGGTGAGGAAGGAAGAAAGAAAAGAGTTAAATGTGGTGCCTTTTCAAATTCAAATTATTTAAGAACCAAAGTTTAAGCCAGTTGATTAGCACCCCAATATCTGTGTACAAATCTTAAAATTGTGTTTTCCCCAGAGTTTAAGTATGTGATTTTGGACTTGCCTGATGAATACGGAACGAGCAACGAAGAGAGGGAACCTCTAAGATCATAGGAAAAAAGCCCCCCCATTTACAAAGACAGTGTTTTGGGAACATCTGGATGCTAGAAACCCAGTTCCAGTGTGGCCTGGTGGTACCAGTGGCTGCTCAGGAGCAGGTGGGGTCCTGTCCCACCCACAGAGGACAAGGCCCTCAGGTGCAACAGGGCCCCACCAGGATTCACATCTCGGGGGCCTGTGTCTGGTCCACCTAACCCACTCCCTACCATGCCTAAAAAGACGGCAGCCATGGGAGAGGACAAGCCAGCTGCAAGTACTAAGGAGCAGCCACTGACAGCGAGATCTCAACCATGTGATGGCCTTTCTCTGCCTGACCCACCCTGGCTTTGCAGAGATGGACGACACAGGCCTTCCAAGTCAAGGTAACTTTCCTGCTGCCCCAGACGGGCAAGGAGCCAGTATTTCTCCTTCCGCGGCCTAAGGTCAGTTTCCAGAGGGAACGTGGGGCCTGAAGAGGAATCTGGTCGCTCAGGCTCGAGTGTCGTTTGAAGGGTGTTAAGCTCTCCCCCAAAGCAGCCTTAGCTTTCATCCCGTCAGGGGCCTGGCAGAAATTATTTTGGATTCCCTGTTGTTATAAAATGGTGTGAGTAATCAGAGGTAAAGAGTAGTTAACAGAAAACGAATACCAGCTTGGCGGGCTAAAATGTCATCCTCTGGGAGCCCCACTGAGGAGCCACCCCACCAGCTCTGTTATGAGATACTTCACAAGAAACCTTCCCAGTGAGCAGGTCAGACAGAGTAAGACATCTGGTTCTCTGTGGAGGCAGGAAGGGAGCAGCTGGTGTCCACCTCCCGGACTCACAGTTCCTAGGATTTAGAAAGGGACAGCAGGGCCCTGAGAGAGCCCCAATACTTCACTCCGACTCCAGAGGCTCCTTCCAGTAAAGGCATCCCCGAGGCAGATCGCATGGAGCGCGCACCTGGGCCAGGACAGGGTGGCAGGGCAGAGCTCCTGAAGGCCAGGGCACTGGTTGGGGGAGAAACCCTCCACCAGCAAGGCTCAGGTTTCACTTTGTTACAGGAATTCTCATTTTTACACTGGTCACACTGCCTCTGTGCTCAGCTAGATGCAGCTTAGGAAATGGACTTTTTAATTCAGGTGGTTCTGTTTGCAAAAGGAGATATTCAGTGTGGGGTTCCACTAACATCAAGCTACATGGTCCCCATCATCCCAAGGGGGCAGGTTGGGTGCCAATAGTAAGCCACTCGGCCCCCTTAGGGGGCACTGCCGTAACCTTCTACCAAGTGAAACCAGTGTTTCCTGCACTAAGGGACATGGCACCTTCTGAGGAAGATGCTCCAGGTCTGACATCCCAGAAGAAATAGCAAGCCAAGCGTGCATGCGACACCAGAGCCACCACACTGCTCCCCAGGAGGCTGCCCCAGCATGTTGCCACCTATTCCCAACCAAGCTCCCTGCCCCACCCTGGGGCGAAGAGACTTCCTACCTGCAGGAGGGAGAAGAGAACTGCTACTTAGCCCTGGGGTCCCCTTCCCGCAGGAAGTCCAAGCGCAGCACAGGCTCCTTGCTGCTGGCTGGACGCAGCAGGTACCGACAATCCTATACGGACACACGGTCAGTGTGAGTTCATCTCAGTGTATGAACACCGCCAACAAAATGCACATATCCCTCGGGCTAACAAAACACAGATACGCTCATTAAGAATTCGGTCACTCAAATACCTCCTGACATTAATTTCACTACACATGATGAATTTGGTATTAAAATAAGACAAAGACACACACAAAATGGCCACAACACACATTTGGTTTCTGAATCCCTGTTTGGGGCCAAACTGACCCTGGCTGTACAGGCAGCCTCTCTGGCATGGGCCGCATCTGAGGCGAGAGGCACGGAGGCCCTCGGGCAGGGGACACAGAGGGGAAGAGGGACTGTTGGCTCCCTGGAAGGAGCGGCAGGGGCTGGCAATCCCCAAAGTTCCCTCCTTTAAAAACACAGGTCTAGAAATGCCTTCTCAGGACAGAGGACAGCTGGCAGCTCCGACCCCTTCTCTGATAATGACATCTGTCCCAGTGGGAAGGAGGAGCCTGAACTCCACATCACATGTTTACTGAAAAGCCCTGTGGAAGATTTCCATTTGGCATCTGTGTAGCAGCATCTCGGGTTTACAAGAGCAGGGAGGTGGGTGACACGCTCTGTACGCTTGGGCGCTGGGTGGGGGATGCCGGATGAAGTCGAGGTGCCTTTTGCCAATGATAAACCATGAGCTTAAAATTCATTAACATTCATTCTGGTGATAGAAATTCCTTAGGGTGGGAGCAAACTCACATTCCCAAGCAAATGTTAAACCTTCCTGAGGGCAAGGGGCACAGTTAAACATTAAATTCTCAAAACAACAGGGAGTGCTCAGAGAGGTGGACCGACCCGCAGGTCCCTCTGCAGGCCACACCCCACAGTGACGACAGACTTGGCAGGTTCTGCAGTAACATGGTTTTCTTCATTCATCCATCAGGTTCGACAGTGACACCCACGGGGGCACAGAGGAAGGGTGCCCCTCCCCAGAGGGCCAAGGAAGGCCATTCAAGGAGCAAGTCCCTCCTATTAGGGTCACATCATGGGATCACAGCAGAGTTCAGACAGAACCACCTAAAACTCTGCAAAAGACACTTTTAAAAAACATGATCTCTTGAAAAAATAAATCGCAACAATTTTCAACTTCATGCAAACCGAGGGAGGAGGAGAGTGAATAATGATAAAAGGTACCGCTGAAAAAATAAACATGATTCTATTTGGGCGGAAGAAATTCATCTCCAAAATCTTGGACGCCATGCCCCAGCTGTCAGCTTCACATCTCTGCTTTCCATTCCTCCCCTCACCGTCCTCCTCTGAGGTGCCCGGGAAGGGGACAAAGTCTTTGGTCTCAGGACGTTGCAGGGTGCAGCATGGCGTACGAGCTCACACCGATGGAAGTCACGGTCGGACGGGGCCCAGGGGCCTCAGGGGTGAAGGGGCGGGCGGCGTGGCGCCCCTAGATGGCGCCTTCACTGTGCAGGCTGTGGTTGGCCTTACTGTGCGTCACACAGTTTTGTTCGTTGAGCAGGTTGGCCGTCTCGTCCGGCAACCCGTCATGCAGCTCCGTAAGAGTCAATTCGATTTTAGTGTTTTCACTGTCTGAAGACTGAGGGGTTTTGTCCATCCGGGATGCCATCAAGGCATTTTGGTATTGCTGTCTTGAGATCTGGGGCCAGAAGGCGGCACAGAAAACAAACCAAGATAACGCTTATTTTTAGGTTCTCTTGTCTCCACATCGTATCACACATCAAATCCCCCGAAAGGCCCGTAGCTGTTTCTCTAGGAGAAAATCATCCTTGAGTGCAAAGTGAGCCACTTTTTATCATTTATTTATATATGAATATGAATATAAATATAAATATATATATGGAGGGGTCTTGCTCTGTCACTCAGACTGGAGTACAGTGTCACTATCACAGCTCACTGTAACCTCAAACCTCTGGGCTCAAGTGATCCTCCTGCCTCAGCCTCCTGATAGCTGGGACTATAAGCCACACCACCACGCCTGGCTAAGGTTTCTGGGTGGTTTTTTTTTTTTTTTTTTTTTAAGAGACAGGGTCTTGCTGTGTTGCCCAGGTTGATCTTGAACTTCTGGGCTCAAGTGATCCTCCCTCCTGGGCCTCCCAAAGTGCTGAGATTACACGTGTAAGCCACCACACCAGCCTGAGACACTGTATTTAAAGTTCAAGTTGACTCTGGTGAACAAGTCAGTTCTTACTGATGTAACTTGCTTCCAAATTTTGTCTCCAGATTTCACAGAGACTAGAAAATAGAGATTGGCTTCTATCAGCGAAAGCTGGCTTGTTCTCCTGAAGTCATCTTTATTTCAGACCAAGAGAAGAACCCCAACTCCAGGACAGAAGATAAGAGGAGGTGGAGCCATCCTCAGCAACTCTTCTGAGTGTCTTGACCTCAGCCCTCCCTCCCAGGAAGTCACTAGGGTCACAAGTGCATGAAAGCTCCTTGAAGACAGTCTACCGTTTCTCCCCATCTCCAGTTCCCATTCCCGGAAAGAACTCTTTGACAGAACCAGGGAGATAAATGTTCTCCCCAGTCTGAGTCTTGGGCACAACAGACGGAGGTGGGACTTGTGGCTGGGAATTGAAGGCAGGGCACCCCAAGGTGACAGAGGGAGTGCTCACAGAGGGACCAGGGAGCCAAACAATCTGCTGTGGCAGGTGACATCAAGCTGTGGGGTCGGCCAAGCCACCCTTTCCTCCCTCACCTTAACAAACTGAAGATCCGAAAGGGCTCGCACTGAGTAGTCGGGGATGTAGACTTGAAGGAACGAAGAATTGAGCTGGTTGTTGCTGCTCCCCAGTGTCGGTGTCACTGCGTCAATCCGGTCACTTCGACTGAGAGAGTCTGAGTGGTTCAAGCCACATGGGCGAGGAGGTGACTTATTTTCACCTGGAAAAGGAGGAAAAACCCAACTGTTTATGTGAAGTGGGTATAGCCAATAAGGTCAGTTCTTTACTTTCCAGATGAAAATCACAACTACCGGCCAGCCCCATCAGCTCACACCACGGCCGAGGCGCGCGGGCTTCTCTGCGGGGCAGGCTGGCCCCACCGCGGTGACAGGCACAAGCCTCCCAAGTGTCTGACGGCAGAGGCCTGTGGCTGCACACCTTGTGAGGAAACTGAGTGCTGTGAAATGCACACGGGGCTGGGCAGAGGCCCAAGCACAGAAGCTGCTTGACCCCAAACTCGGGCTGTGAGGAGGTGGCACTTCGTCACTGTGCCCGAGCAAACACAAAGGACCCTGGGGCACGTTCATACACCGGTCTGTGTTGTGAAGGGATCAGCACGCTTCTCTCTGCTCATACTATACCCCTAGCCAAACTATCACATTTATATCTGACCCCAACAGGAACCCCCCATCAGCCTGAGGATTTCTCAGGAAGACAAGAACACTAGGAGACACCAAACCCTTCAGAAGTCTGACCAAGTTACATCAGGTACAAGGGTTTCTTCAGTGAGATCTTGACAGCACTCTCTCATTAAAACAGAAAGGAGATGCGGGCGAGTCTAAGTGTTATTGCTCTTACAGGGAAGTTGACTGCAGCTTCTAGCGTACATTTTACTAGAAACAAAACCCACCTCCTTGCCAAAGCTGCTTCCAGTTTTTGCTTTGATAACCAGCTCTGTCGCACAGAGCATAATGTCACAGAATAGGAGGGGACCATCTGGTCAACGTGTCCCTGACAGAGGCTCCCACAGAGGAGCCAGCCCTCGGCTAGTCCTGACCGTCAGCTACAGGAAGGTCTGTCACCACGCCCAAAGTCTGCCTCCCTAACTCCAAATGACAGTCTCACTTCTGCTCTTCTGTAACCTTCATGCCTCTGCTAACTGAAGTTTGAAAGAGTCCTCAAGAGTCCGAGGAGAGTTATGTTCTCCCTAAGTCTCTTCCATTCCAGGCCAAATACCTCGCTGCTCCTCACCTCATGTTTGACTAACCCTCACTCCATCACTGTCTTACACTCCATTTGGTAAATGTTTTAAAAATTAGAAAATTTCCCAATATAAGCTCTATGAAGACACTGCTCTAAGTGACGATACCAGCCATTTAGTCCAACCCTGAACAACTGAGGGTCCTGGGAATTTAACCATGTCAATGGAATCTTTCTTACATTATTAAATGAAAAAAAAAAAAACGGGCACCCTTTAAAGTTTTTTGTTTTTTTAAGAGATGGGGTCTTATTCTGTTGCATGGACTGAAGTTCAGTGGCCTGATCATAGCTCATAGCTATTTTGCCCAGGTTGGTCTCGAACTCCTGAGCTAAAGTGGTCCCTGCTCCTGCCTCAGCCTACTGAGAAGCTGGGACTGCAGGTGTGCGCCACCACGCTCGGCTAATTTTTATTTTATTTATTTTTTAGAGATGGGGTCTTGCTATGTTGCCCAGGCTGGTCTAAAGATTTTTTAAGATTAGGAAACAAAAAGAAGTCAGATGGAGCCAAATCAGGACTTTAAGATGGACCTAATGATTTTCCATTGAAACTCACAAAATTGCCCTTGTGTGATGAGAGGCATGAGCAGGAGAATTGGTGGAAAAGCTCTTTGGTAAAGCTTTCCTGAGTGTTTTTCTGCTAAAGCTTTAGCTTACATTCTCAAAACACTCTCATAATAAGCAGATGTTACTGTTTTTTGGCCCTCCAGAAAGTCAACAAACAAAATGCCTTGAGTATCCCCAAAAAACTGCTGCCATGACCTTGGCTCTTGACTGGTCCATTTCTGCTTTGACTGGCCCACTTCCACCTCTTGGTAGCCATTGCTTTGATTGTGCTTTGTCTTCAGAATCATACTGGCAAAGCCATGTTTCATCTCTTATTTCAGTTCTTTGAATAAATGCTTCAGGTTCTTGACCCCACGTGTGTAACGTTCCCATCGAAAGCTCCGCTCTTGTCTGCAGCCAACCTGTGTGCAGCGGTTCGGGCACCGAGTGGACAGTTTGCTCAACTTCAATTTTCCAGTCAGAATTGTGTAAGCTAAACCAATTGAGATGTCTGTGGTGTTGGCTATTGTTTGTGCTGTTTAATTGTTGGTCTTCTTCAATTAAGGCATGAACATGATTAACTTTTTCCTTGAAAATTGTTGTGGTCGATCTGCTGCAGCCTTTGTCTTCAACATTGCCTCAGCCCCTCTTAAAATGAGTCATCCATTTGTAAACCGGTTTCTCTGGGGGCACAATCCTCATAAACTTCAATGACTTCACCATTCTTCCACCCAAGCTGCACCATAAATTTGATGTTTCTTCTTACTTCAAATTTTAGCAGAATTTAGGGGTTTTCAAACTGATGTCTTATCCTTCTTAGTGCCTCAAACTATTAACAGATCCTGTCAGTGATCCTTTTCTCTAGAGCTGCTTTCTCCATGAGCCTTCATGCTTAGCCCCAGAGCTCATTCTTAACTGGATCTGGCTGCAAAGGAGTTCCTTAATCTCATGGCCTCATTGTCATTTGATTCACTCGATCAGAACTGAGGCAATTAGAACCATGAACAAAAGTAGCAGAGCCTTTGGCTCCTCTAAACATGTGGTGACACGGGTGCCCCCTCCGGCTCCGTGCAAGGTCCAGGTGCCAGGCTGGGGACTCCTACCTGCGCCCTGCTCTGGTCACAGCACCCAGGTCAGGGAGGGTAGCAGCTCCGCCCCCATGTTCAGGCCTCCCGCCATTGCCCGGTAAATGTCCTTCTTAAAGTAGGACACAGAACAAAATGTAAGTACTCCAGGAACCTTAGGTGATGAGTTTACTTTCTCCTAAAATTTTTATGTCACAACCTTCCCTACAAGTGTCACATCATGAACTAATCTTCCATTGTTAGTCAAAATTAAATCTGGAGTAGTTCCTCTCACTTCCACTCATCTTCTAAGAGAATAAGGCAAATTAATAATTTATCAGCTGTTTTATATTTAACAGAATGGAACTTTGAACACACAACCCAACTGCGATAAGCTTCTGACTCCTTGTCTGTAAAACGTGGATAATGGTACACGCCTCATGAGGTCTGACGGGGTAAACATGTATCATGTGTAAAGTGCTCGGCAGAGCCTCTGACACCCAGTGTGTGCCGGTGGGTGAGCCGGGTTGACACTTCGTGTTCTTTCATGGGAGCTTCCTCCCAGACCTGCCACCATGCACCTGCCCTCACGTGCGAGCCTTTCCACACTGCGGTAACTTCACCCAGAGTGACAGGTCGGTGAGTTCTTTGAAACAAGGGATCCCACTGTATCCCTGGGCTTCAGCCACAGTCTTATCACCATGTTCACAGATATCTTGGAAACGGCGTTTGTGTCTGTGTTAAAGCTGGCAGGTGTACATCTGAGGCTCATGCGGCACCTCCGAGTCTCCTGTTCTCCCAAGGAGGACTTTGGGGCAATTTCTCTGGTCTTCCAAAGCATCCAGACTCACAGGCGGCCTCCTCTCACCCATGGCCTCTGGTTTGGGCCAGGGGCCACAGCCTGTTTCCCAGGACCCTTCTAATAGTTCAACAGGCACCCAGTGTGATCAGGGAACTACACAACCCAGAGCTCAGTTCACTCCCAGAACCCCAACCTTTTTTTTTGAAACAGAGTTTTGCTCTATTCCTGGGCTGGAGTGCAGTGGTGTCATCATAGCTCACTGCAGCCTTGAACTCCTGGGCTCAAGTGATCAATCCTCCTGCCTCAGCTTCCCAAAGTGCTAGGATTACAGATGTGAGCCACCACACCCAGCCTCAAACACAATAATAATAATAGAGGTCTATGTCCTTTATCTAAAGCCCTTGGGGGCCAGGGATGTTTCAATTTTGGAAAGGTAGCATGGTCTACATCCCCCATATCGCACACGTGCCCAGCCATTCAGGGACAGCCCTTGCAATCAAACACATCAACCTACAGTCTGAAGGACGAGGAGCCATCCCAAGTAGAACAGAGACTGTGACGGCCAAGACCCAGGTCAGGTCATGGGCTTTGTTGCCAAATGTATGCACCAAAGCTTGATGACAATGATTATAGGGAAAATTTCCATTTTGATCCTTCTGCCTTCTCAGAATTGTTCTTTCAGCCTTCTGTCCCAGCTTATTTTATCCATCCTAGCTAGGAAGTCTTTCCCTGTGGCAGGAGGCTAGAAGATCCAATAAAGAAATAGTCCCAGCCTCCCTGGGAGCCAGCAGGGCTGGCTTTCCAGAAGCTGGAAATCACTGGTGTAGTTCAAGCCCCATTTATTAGATATCATATTACTGCAATGCCAGCATCCTCAAAGGCCTGGACCTATGAAATACACTTTTCTATTATTGGATCAGACAAAGCAGGCAGAGCTAGGAAATCTTTACGTTTTATAGAAAAAGCAAAATGCAAATGACATTTCTATGGGCTTCATCCAAATCATTCTACTTTAGCATCTGTGACTTTTCTTTTTAAAATTTTAATCAAATTAGGAGGTGCAAGTTGGATTACATGACACATATATATATATCATATAGTGGCAAAATCTGGGTTTTTTTTTTTTTTTTTTTGAGACAAAGTCTCACTTTATTGTCCAGGCTAGAGTGAGTGTCGTGGCGTCAGCCTAGCTCACAGCAACCTCAAACTCCTGGGCTTGAGTGATCCTTCTGAGTAGCTGGGACTACAGGCATGCGCCACCATGCCCGGCTAATTTTTTTATATATATATCAGTTGGCCAATTAATTTCTTTCTATTTATAGTAGAGACGGGGTCTCGCTCTTGCTCAGGCTGGTTTTGAACTCCTGACCTTGAGCAATCCGCCCGCCTCGGCCTCCCAAGAGCTAGGATTACAGGCGTGAGCCACAGCACCCGGCCTAAAATCTGAGTTTTTGTACCCAGTTTACATTATACCCCATAAGTAATTTTTCATCCCTGTGACAGTTTTAAGAGGGAGCAGATGCAAGCAAATAAAATGGGATGAAAAAGTACAACATACATACACATGCATGTATATGGATACATGTGTATACACACATACATATACACATTTATGTGAATTCTGCCGCTAGTTTGATTCAAATAGCTCCCTGAATCAAATTGTACCCCAAACATCCCAAGCTTTTTAAGAGCAAAGATTTGTGGAAACAGCTTTTTTCTAAGTATTGCTTCTTTCATCAGATATCAGCATCTTAGAGTTTTGCTGAAACTGGATTATGAAATTTAAATTTCAGTCAGATTTAAAAATATAAGCTCTATGGAACAAAATAAATACAGAAAAGTTGTGTTACTAAATAGGAAAACCCAGCAATTTTAATTAAAGAAAGATTAAGGCTTTTCCTTTCTTTTTAATGGCTGGACATATTAGCCAGGCACGGCCAAATGCCCTGCAGGGACATGACCAGTGGCTGCTTAGGAATGTGCAGGGACACAGGGAGAGTAGGGGCCACCTGCCTAACAGATGGCAGAAATCCACACAGCTGTTCACCTGCATGTGGAAAGAGGACTCTACAACTGGAACGTTGTGGGCCTGTATGGATGGGGTATTTTTCTTGGTTACCAAGAAAAGTGCATTGTTTTTCAGGCTTTTAGCTGAATGTGTTCTACAGAAGCATCCTTGGGTTTAGAGGCCTTCAGGGCCTCTGCAAACTCCACGCACCATGACTTAGGTCAGAGCAAGAACTAAAAGCAGCCCCCTTTTGCTGACCTGAAAGTTCAAGGTCAGTGGTGCATGCAGGGAAGGCAGGGAACGCTAATGATCCATATCAGAACCACTCTCCCTCGCCATGTTTCACCACCACCGTGTTCCAGAACTCCCCACCAGTCTCCCACACTCTCTCTGCACCTGCTGTGGCTTATGCTTTCCTGGACAACTCGCTGTTAAGTCAGAGAACCTTAGGGTTTTAGCACTCGAAGGAAAACTGGACACAGCTATGTCCATATAAAAGCAGCAGACCCGGCCAGCCAGGCGGCTGTGGGTCTAGGGCAGGCAGCGAGGAGAATTATGAAAAGGAAACATGCAGAATTACCTGGAGAACCTGCTGCTAACAACTCTGTTCTGCTGACAACAAAGGTACGAGACAGGGACAAGGGAACTGAAAAATGGAGAAAAACAGGGTGAGACCACATCAAAAGGCAAGAAAGGAGATCTCTGCAATCAAGGGACAGGCGCAGATACCTGCTCTACAGATACGGGCAATCGATTCCAGAAATGCAAAAGCCTGTGTGGTGTTATATAAACAGAACCGAACACACGCTGCTTTTCAGGAAGAACACAGGGAGGCCGAGATTAGGAGAAATGCTACCCACGAGCTTTTTACTAACCTAGAAATCTCTTAAGCCATTAATAACCAATTGGGGTTTATAGCTCAAAACGTGCTATTCTTAAGGATTTAAGTCACAAATAGCCACACAAAAGGGGAGCTCGATTAATCAACTGCCCTAAGAGTGTGATCCAAGCCGCTGGTGCCTATACCCCAATACTCCTTCATAGCCTACAGCACCCTATCTGTGTCTCATTGTAATTTTAACCTGACACTTTGAATTGCTTTGGATGTTCGAATGTCAAAAGAGAGGGAAGTAAATACAGAATGCGTACATGGGTTTCCCGAGAACGGCAGACCAAAGTCATCTTCACCACATGTACGCAGGCGGGGGCTGTGGCTCCAGCTGTCTGCAAGGGGCAAGGAACACGCAGCGTCAGGCAGGACTCGTGCTTTCTGGGCAGGTCTTGAGAACCAATCGTTGTAGGTTTTTTCCCCAGACAACTAACGTTAATAAATACAAACTTTACCTTAAGATGCCTATACTAACTGTGCCTCTCAATGAATATGCAAAATCCCGAATCCTAGTTGTGAAAGTTAAGTAAAATACACTAGGTTCTGGGATAAATAAGATGTCATTAATGAAATTCTCCTTTCTCAGCGGTTCCAAACCCGGGAGCAATCTGTGCCCAGGCTTCCTGTCAGAGGGATGCCCCTCACTTCCCTTTCTTTTCTTTTTTCTAGAGACAGGTTCTTGCTCTTGGCTCAGGCTGGTCTTGAGTTCTTGGCTTCAAGTGACTCTCCTGTCTCGGCCTCCCAAAGTGCTAGGACTATAGGCGGGAGCCACGGTGCCTGGCCCTCCCTTTCTGAATAGGACTCGTCCTTACATTACCATTCAATATGAACTGGGCTAATATGTAGGTTTCAAGAACCAGTTATCAATAAACATGCAAAAATTACCCTTTTAGCTTTCTTTCCAAAGCCACCTTATAAATCTGGTTCTGCTAACCGGGGGCTAATTGGAGGTGGGTTACCAGAAACAGTCACGGTTACACCACCTTTCTGTTAGACCAACATTTCCTTTTAAGCTTTAAAAGTTACAAAGCACTTGTGAGTATCACTGCATTCTATTCTTTTAACAATCACACAAGGTAATATGATTATAGTCTTTTCATAACGAGGAAACCAAAGGCCTCACCCAGTGTCACACCACAACCCATGTGTGACAGAACTGAGGCTGTCACCCAGGTCTTCTCATGCCCAGTTAAGAACTGCTCTGTCTCTCTTCTCATGAAACAGTGAAAACAGAAAATCACCTTCAAGTTTACAACAGAGACCTACTAATTAAGTAGGGTAATTCTGGCTTGTCGTGTCAGCAGTGGACAGTGGGGACACTGTGCCTGCAGGACTCAAAAACCTGAACCAGGATAGCGAGAAGATACATTTGGGGCGCAGGTTTGGAAATAGTAGAAAATTCTCATCTCACAGCTTTCTAAATGTAACATCCTTGGTCCCTTAGACTGTTGGGTGACGCAGGAGGCGTCACAGAAACAGACTGGTCTGGCGGCATCTCCTCCCCCATGAGACTGGTTTTCAGAAGTGACAGCCTTCTTTTAGGATGGGCTATTTTTAGGTTTGAGGTTTCTAAAAGAAGTTTCCTAGCACAGCACATCATTTAGTGTTTTTGCCACAAGGTGGCGCTCCAGCACCTCTGACCCACCTGACCTGCTCAGCCGAGCAGCGCACTTGGAAAAGCAGCACAGCAGAGGGACCGTTTGAGCCCCGTCCCCAGGAGTGAGCGAACGCATCAGCGTCTACGAGTGCTTTTGTCCTTCTAGGGCACACCCAGCTTGCTGGCACCTTGGAATATTGTGCTCAGACAACTTAGTGTCAATCCCCAGGGCACACCCACCCTTAGCTGACTGCAGGCAGTAAAATATAGAGTAACCACCTCGTTCATCCTCAGGAAACCACAGATTAAAACCCCCCAAATAGCTAATATTTAAAAGACTCAACACCACCAAGTGTTGGCTATAGAGCACCTAGAACTCACACAGGACAGGTGGGAGTATACACAGGGACATCCGCTTTAGAAAACTCTAGGCAGTATCTACTACAGCCGAAGGTGCACATAAGCCAGGACCCAGTAATTCCACTCCTGGGTATTCTGCACCCAACAGAAACACACACATGTTCACCAAGAGACAAGTACAAGGACGTTCACAGCCACACAATTCATAGTAACCCCAAACAGGAAACCGCCCCACTTTCCATCAGCAATAAAAAATGCATTACTGCACATTCACACAATGGAACACTGTCCACGGCAACAAGAAACAGTAGAATCACACACAGCAACACAGGTGAATGCGACAAGCATAACATTGAAGCCAGATTCCATATGATTCACACTGTGTACTTTCATTTATAACAACTTTAACACTAGGCAAAACTAGTCTGTGCTGAGAAATCCAGTGAGCAGTTACTTTGGGGGACAGTGACTCAAAGTGAGTGTGATGGGGCTTCAGGGGTTCAGGATGCTCTGTCTCCACCTGGGTGCTAGTGCACACAGGTGTGCTTGGTTTGTGACCATTCATGGACGTACTGACTTATGATTTGTGCAGTCTTTTTGTATATATGATATACTTCAGTAAAAAGTCCAAGAACTAAATAAGTAAGGTCAGCCGGCAGGTACAGAGAGAAAGATGACAGGCGAAGGGCATCACTCCCTAAACCGTGGCCCTTCCCCAAGAGGCTGAGACCCAGCAACGCACCTGGAGAGGCCGTCAGGGCCATGACGCCATAGTACGAGAAGGCACTAGCTTCAAACTTCATACCTTCTTTCCCAGCTTCTACTTCCACCTTCCCCTGCAGAGAGAAAAGGTGAGTATTTTCAGTCCAATTGCATAAATCTACTTGCACACTCTACACAAAATCTGGTCCTTCCTCTGATGTTTGTCTAAGTTCCTTTCCCAGCAATCCCAAGGAACTGGAGCCTTAGATAGTGCTTGCACTTAGAGGGGTGGGCTACCTCATCTTAAATAGAAGACTGGATTTGCCGGGACAGGCAGAGGTGACAGCATACATGTGATGTTTTATTTCTGAGTCCCAACATTAATATTCTCCCAACATCCTTAGTTCTTGGACTCCTCGAGAGCCCTCCAGTAATAAAAGGTGGTGCCCTTGCTCCATCTCACTAGACCAACACTAAGAATGTGTTCAGTGGCAGGTGCCCGAGCTGTCCTGCAGGAGCCGGAGGTGGGGCAGAGAGGAGTAAGCTGGCTCCTGGGACAGAACCCACTCTCCTCTCTCCAGCTCGTGTCCTGATCCACCAAGCAGACACCTCGTGGGCCAATGCCTTGTTGTCCAGTCTCCCTGGAGGCGCTTTGGCACCTTGGGACTTTCTCCTCACTGTCTTGGGAAAGCACCTTGAACAAGTCTTCTTCCATCAGAACAATATTCTCCTCTCCTCCCCTAAGGTTTTCTCTTTTCTTTCCTTTTTCTAACTTGTCCATAACTTCCTCACTTATATCCAATCTTATGGGACAGACTGTGCCTTATTCCTCCCCTTAACCCTGGGTCCACTAGAATCCCTTCAATGACAAGTACTCAATATGCAATTTTTGGGCTACTGAAATACTCTCATAAGTGAGTTTTGCTTCTAGATTTCCAAGCCAAGGGTCAGAAGGCTTTTGTTCACATTCCCTATAACTGCCTCTCCAGTGAGGGGCTGTCTCTGACACAGCCTTTACGATAAGGAAACAAAAATTAAGCTACCATTTATCAAAAAGGAGCTGCGCTAACATTTCAGTGTTTTATTAACTCATTTAATGCTCACAATTCTACAAAGCAGACACAATTAATCCTCCTCTTATAAATCAGGTGAGTGGGAACCAGAAAAACTTAGTGGTCAAAGAACAAGCTCTTAGTGTGCTACAGTATGCCACCAACATTGCATTCTATTTATTTTGATCATTCCTTATTAAGTTGTTCTATATTCTCAACTAGAGAAGCCCTTTCTCAAATCATTTCTGCAGAAGTCTATTTGCAGCTTCTCTTTAAGGTTTTCTTTTGCTCAGTGGAAATATTGGTCTTCCCAGTCCCCAGCCCATTCTCTCACTGTAAGAATTGAAAACTCCACCCATAAGGTAAAATCAACCTGCAAACAAGCAGGCGCTGGGACCAGTCAGGTGCAGGCGGGGCCCTGCGGGAGCCTGCAATCCAGGGGGGAGTGGAGAGCACACGAAAACCAATGACACAGCAGTAAACAGGAGATCTGCACGAGGAAAAGGACATGAAGATGAGAAATTCAAAGAAAGCAATCTACTTCCTGTTCTTATATAAAGACAAATTTTATACAGGAAGGAAACATCTAAGGATGAGCAGGATTTGGTTGACCCAAGAGAAGGGAACAGCATGAGGGAAGGTCAGAGGCAGGGACAGCGTTCAGCCAGGTGCACTGGTTTGCTCGGGGACAAGGCAGGACAGGCAGCCGGGTGTGCAGGTCAGACCGTGGAGCCCGAGTCGTGGTGGGCGGGGCAGGTTGCCAAACTGAGGAAGAGGAGTCCAGACCTATGTGGGGTTGGGATCCTCAGACTGGAAAGAGGCTGCCACGAGAGAAACTATAGACAAGGGAGCCACATAATTTGGTGAAACCATTAGGGAGAAAGAAATGTAAGGGAGTGACAGGAGTCTGTCGCCACAACAGAGGTTTGCTCCGAGGGGTTTGCTCAGGATACCACGAGGAGACAAAGAGGCAGGGAAGGGGCTGCAGCAGTGGCCGGGGCCTTTGAAGCAGCTCAAAAAGCCTGAGATGGAAGAAAGAGTGTTGGGAGAAAGGTCAGAGCTACAGAGGGAGATCTGAGAGTGGAAGAGACGCAGCAAAGGGAAAGAAAAAAGGACCAAACTGCAGCCAGTGACTGAGAGCAGGAGGACAGAGAGAAACCAGGACGGGACCAAAGGCAGAAACAGCAGCATCACCACAGAAAGCCAGGAGAGATGGGAGTTCCACGACAAAGGACGGCCGGTGGAGAGAGTGACGTTACTGATGAGGGAGGATTTTCCACCCCACAGGGAAGGTAGGGCAGGCATGATGTCCTCCTCCTGCCCAAGGAGGGACACGGCTCCAGGGCAAGTGATGGCTGTTCAGGACCTGGAATTCAGCATGACAAAAGTCATCGTGGAGGGAGAAGAGGTGGCAACCAAGGGGCAAGAGCCAAAACCTGACAGGAGATAAGGGCGCGTGGTGCAAAGAGACTGGCTCAAAGACGGCAGAGTAGGGGGAAGGGGCCAAGAGACGTGACGTTCCAAGACACAGGGCAAGAAAAACAAAGTGGCTGATGGTGTGTATCTTCCTATTATGCACCCATTTCTTCCCAGGCTAATCCTTGATTTTGTGTCAGATGATAACATGTGTGTATGTGATATATGAAATGCCTTCATAGTTGGTAATAAGAGTGGCTGCAGGACCATCTCTGAACCTGACCTTGCATGTGGAAAGCCAGGAGGAAGGCTCAAGCCCCACAGAGCCTCATAATAGCTCCATCTCCACTTGATCTGATATGCATGGTTTGTTGTACAAGTTACAGTGCTTTTTGTGTTCTACGTACTTGCAAATGGGTGTCAATTCACAGTTCTTTTCTGATGAATTCTCAGAACCTGCAGGGCAATAGTTCCTACTAAAATAAGACTAGAAAATAACACCTCGTCTATCTCTTGGGAAGGAGCTGTTCAAGGCGCAGTGCTGCTATGACGCTCGGAACCTCTGCCTAGCAAACTCAAGGGCAGAGATCCCCAAATATTGATGTCTTGCTGCTACTTTCAGGTATTCTGATTTAACTGGTTTGAGGAGCAACTTGGCATTAGGATTTTTGAAAGCTCTCCAGATGACTCAAGCAAGCAGTAAAGTCTGGGAATCACTACTTCAAGCCTGTCTGGGAATGCAGTATGCCCTGGCCTCACAGGCACAGTGGCCGTGAGTCTGTCAATGAGACAAGGACAGCTGCAGAGGAAGTCAAAGCTCTAGACCACAGCCATCTCAGCTACTGTTTCCTCTGTCCTTCAGGACAGGACCCGGGGCAGGGGAGGGTCAGCTATCTTCCCTTGGGATTCCACCTAGTCAACTTCCATTGGGTAGACACACTAGGTCAGTGGTTCCTAGACATTTGAAGTCTAAGAGCCATTGAAATGCACTTCTATCCTAAAACTGGGAACATAGTATCAAATTTTACTTCATAAGATATTTTTTTTTTTTTTTTTTTTTTTTTTGAGACAGAGTCTCACTTTGTTGCCCGGGCTAGAGTGAGTGCCGTGGCGTCAGCCTAGCTCACAGCAACCTCAAACTCCTGGGCTCGAGTGATCCTTCTGCCTCAGCCTCCCGGGTAGCTGGGACTACAGGCATGCGCCACCATGCCCGGCTAATTTTTTATATATATATCAGTTGGCCAATTAATTTCTTTCTATTTATAGTAGAGACGGGGTCTCGCTCAGGCTGGTTTTGAACTCCTGACCTTGAGCAATCCGCCCGCCTCGGCCTCCCAAGAGCTAGGATTACAGGCGTGAGCCACAGCGCCCGGCCAAGATATTTTTTAAAAACATATCTATCTACTGTTACCATCATTTCATAAGAGACCAGACATCTTAACCCTCCAAATTTAGAAAATATGTAATTTCACAATAACAGGTCTTCAAAATGAATACATGTAGCTTTATGAAAAACTCATTGCAACTGCCTTTATTTTTCTTATTTTGCCTCAAACTGGTAAAGACTTTGTCAAAGTATCTCAGCACTTAGGAACCAGTGCATCATATTAATTTTACTTCACTTATAAAGTTGCAATAGATTAAAGGACCCCTTCAATTCTAACATTCTATGAATCTACAACTCCAAGAGTTTTAAGAACAGCCCATCTGGCCGGGCGCGGTGGCTCATGCCTGTAATCCTAGCACTCTGGGAGGCCCAGGTGGGCGGATTGCTCGAGGTCAGGAGTTCAAAACCAGCCTGAGCAAGAACAAGACCCCATCTCTACTATAAATAGAAATTAATTGGCCAACTAAAAGTATAGAAAAAATTAGCCGGGCATGGTGGCACATGCCTGTAGTCCCAGCTACTTGGGAGGCTGAGGTAGGAGGATCGCTTGAGCCCAGGAGTTTGAGGTTGCTGTGAGCTAGGCTGATGCCATGGCACTCACTCTAGCCTGGGCAACAAAGCTAGACTCTGTCTCAAAAAAAAAAAAAAAAAAAACCAATAAAAAAAGAACAGCCCATCCCTATAGCGCTCTCTAGTAAACATTTCTTTTACTCATTTGTGTGTGTTAGTGGTTCCAAAAAGTTCATTTTCAAATAGCCCTAACCAGGGTACAAACCAGGGCCCTCCTGAGGAAATGGCTTACCAAAAAACAATTAGGTATCTTCTCAGATAATAACTTTTTTCATATAAGGAAGCCACATACTGATTTTACTTTAGAAATATTCGTAAGTTTATTCTAGCACACCACCAAAAAGACAAACAAAAACACCCCAGGACAGCACGCGATGGACTCCGAGCATTCCCAAAGGGGACTAGGGCGTCCGGTTTGTAAACCGGCACGTTAGGAAGAAGGCCTGCTGCACCAAGCAGAGCTGGAATCCTGGGTAAGTTTCTACCACAGGATCCTACCTTTCCTTGGGCAAAGGTATCAGATAACCTCTTCTCAAAGTTTCCGATTGTCCACAAAGTACTAAATGCCTCATGCCTCACGTTGCCTTGGAGCGGAATCCTACGCAACCCCGTCAGCACGGCGCGACCCAGCGCGCGACCGCCACAGAGCCGCCATTGGCGCCCGGGAGACGCCCTCGCACGCCACGCCACGCCACGTGCTGAACAGCGA